AGTATAACTGACTTTCCATAAAATGCACCGTATGTAATATACAACCGTCATTTCGTCTGAGATCCGTAAATGGAAGCTGTTTCAAGAATCACTAAGACCATCACCAATTTCAATTCGAAATCGATGTAGTTCTATGAGGAGTGAAGGTAAACCCACAAAAAGACAGTTTCATGGTCCAGAAATGTCTAGCCCTCATGGTCTGGCACTGTGTACTTCTTCTTTGATTGATGTCGAGTACTGGGGGACTGTTTCAAGAGACGCCTCACATTTGTGTTTCACTTATACCAAGGAGCAATAGAGAGCCACACAATACCATTACGCAATAGAAAACAACAACACTTGGATAGCGATACAATCTATGAGTATAATTTGTCACCTCATTACTCTTGAAACCATATGGAAATGCCAATTCATATGTGTAGACGTGTTGATTCAGAACTGTGTAAAGCTTTAGCCAAGGAGATAGGGCCATACATCGTCGAAATGAGGAATTGAAGTAGCTTTTTGATCTGTGATTTGAGTTGTAAGTTATCCCTGTGGTTCATGCGATCTATTGATACCAGTTTTCCCATCCAGTTCTCTCATTGAAAAACAAAGTCTTGTACGTCAGGTGAAACCATTGAGACTTTCATATATGCCACCTCTAACGCTGTTGCTGTGACTTTCACAATCACTCAAAGCCTTTCAAGTTCTTTGAGACAGCTTTATGTTACGTTTAGCAGCATATCATCCTAAAGCTACCATCTTCTAACGTTTTCAAGCTTAGGGTGTTAAGGAAAGAAATGTGTTCATACAAGAGAGTTCCCCTTTGCTTTGATGTTTTTTTTCAACCCCGCTCAATTTTGGTGTGCGGATGTTTGGAGCCAGCAAATGTAAGACTATAGCAACGCATCAACGATACTTCACCAACATTCAATAACAACAACAGCTTCGATCCGTAGAGAATGGACTTCACGAACAGTTAGTATGACTCTTTATCATATAGAGATAAGCAAAAAGCTATGTGTAACTTGTAAATTCAGCGCAATGTGGTCATGACTGGATGACTTCAGCTACAAAAGATCCAATAACTATCAACAACGATCGATTCATGCTTGCCAAGGCACAACGTAAAGGTTCGACTATGAGGAAGAAGATACCAATGCTGATTGAAGAGTACCTTATACCGAGAGTGCAACCTAGAAAGTAGGTCGAATGGGAATCGATGGTTCTGGCTATGTCTAAGATAAAAAGAAGTTTGACAACAAAAGACACTGGTATACAAAACATATAAGGACACCTTCAGTTGGTGATGGCAATTGGCCTACGATATCAATGTTTCTGTAACTGTGTATGGTTCCCATTCTGTGTCATTTTTAGGGACTTCGGTTGACTTCTTAAAGTCTCAAGCTGGGCAACTTACCTGGTAACCCAAGTTGAACAGTGGAGAGTCAAGTGTCTATGTATACTTTGATGTTGATGATTCAAAACAATAGATAAACGTACATTGGTCCATCAGATGACCTTAACAGGACTGAATCCTAACAAGTGTACACTCTATGACTACCAAGCTACTGATAATAATGTTTAAAGATTATGTAAAAGACTAATTAAATTACTGACCAACTGTCATAACTGTAATATCTCAACGTGGTGTAACACATGAAACAATAACATTATTCACTAGCTTGATTTTTAGAGGTGTTTTTTATTTCGTCCTCCCAGTCGAACTGGTAATTTGAGAATTGTCTAGCTGGAATGCCTTTCTCAAACATAATATCAAGTTCTGCAAACGATCTGTCTCGTGTTTCTGGAAGTCTAAAGAACGACCACACAAGCACACATGTAGCTGTTCCCAACCAAACGAAAGCTGTTTTACCTTTCAGATTGGCTTCACTTGGATTAATCAAGTAGGGCTCAACAACATTTGAGATCAATGAAACTATAGAGTAAGATCCTCTAGCCAAAGCAATACTCTGTGCTCTTAAACGGGTCGCACTCATTTCACCAACAATGGTGAAAGCGAGTGGGCCTATTGTCATAGCATATGTAGCAACCCATGCAATGACAACACCACATTGTGCCCATTTTATTGCTGAGGTCTGTGGAGGACAGGCTAGAATTCCAATTAATAATAACACAGCCGTCAGAATAGCAAACCCTGTAACATAGATGGTACGTCTACCGTACCTTCTTAACAGGAACCAAGAAAGAACTGTTCCCGTCCATGCGATACCCGTAGTCCCCAAGTTCAATTTGTACGTATCGGATGAGTTCAAACCTGCTTGACTGAAAAAATAACTAGGGGAATAAGCAAAAGTGGACCCTGATAGAACTTGTCCTGCAAAAGCCACACATGCGATTTCAGTTCTTCTACGGTTGAACCCTTTGAAACACTCCACATAAGATTTCCATCCTTTAATGTTATTCATCTCCTGCTCCTTCTCCAACTCATTTGTACGAATCATCATGGATACTCTTTGGTGCGCTTTTTCGTGGATTGATTTGTGTGATAGTCTCTTTGTTGCCTTTATTGCATCATCGATTCTTCCCTTACGGATCAACCATGCTGGCGAGTCTGGACAGAGAATTGTTAGAATGAAAAGTGGCGGAATCCATACCCACTGGATAGCAAACGGAACTCGATATGACCATTCAGTGGTATTGCTTACAAACGCTTGTAACACACCAGCTGCCACGAATTGACCAGTAGCCCAACAAAGATTCACATATGCTGCCAGATAACCTCTCAAAGCCAAGGGCATAATTTCAGATGAATAGGAAGGTCCCATTGTAGCAAAGACACCCCAAACCAAACCACACAATATCTGGCCCACCAACAAATGTTGAATTGTTTGGGCAAAGAAAGGAATGAAGATGAACGCAGCCATCAAAGTCAAGTTAGCTAAGATGACACGACGATGTCCCCATCTTTCAGTCAAGTAACCGTTAGCAAGAACACCCACCACAGCACCAGAGGCTGCAGCGCATGAAAGTCCAACTTGCCAAGGGCCCGTAAGCTCCTTATCATTAGGGTTACCATCAACAGGCTGGCCAAACTTATCCTTGAAAGATGGATAAGCGAAGAAACTGGACATTAAGATGTTATCATAGCCCTCCATAATGATTGTAGCGGACATAACAGCAGCCCAGAATATGGAAGCTTTGTAAAGTGAAATTGCCTCTCTTACAGAGAGCTCATGCTCTTCTTCGTTGGCCTCCTGTGCATCTTGGTTTATCTGGGATTCGTCGAGTTCATAAATAGTTGGTTCAATATCAATAATTCCCCTTCCATTTGTATCAGTAAGCTTGGTGTCGTTTGATGAGAATCTTGAAACGTTTTCAATGTGCTCTGCATCAGAGCACTTTTTATCATAGTCAGAAACCATGCTTTGTTTTGGATGATTATAGTGTTGGTGTCATAAAATCTTGACGTAACTCCCAGTATTTATATATTCAACAACTTTCGATGTAGTCCAAATCTTTGTTAGGAAGTGGTTTCATAAAAATAGTAAGATGATCTTTTTCAAGTTGCTTCAATACAAATTCGTTATCATCAAACTTTTTACCCCGACCATGACCTCCGGTATCACTTTTAGCAACACATTTTTGGGTGAACATTGCGACGAACATTTTGGCGCATTCAAAGTATGACGTTCATCTATATGAGTTGAGAATCTGTGATGATGAATGACACCAAGTTCTGGGGTAGAAATGTTAAGGTTTGATCTACTCCGTATTTAGTTGTCATCACTATTGATGCTAATAAGAAGTTTCCGAGATTCTAAGCGAGTATTTTGCCGATGCTTTTGAAAGGTATTACTTTTGATGATCTCACGATCACGATCCATATGACACCTCAGTTCTGTGAACTAGTCACCATATTTAGGGTCTAAATCACCATCTAGCTAAGGTCACGTCGTCGTTTACATCGCGGAGGAATTGTCGGAGTCGCTTAAATTCTCGGAATAACTTTTCATTTTGCTTTGCTACAGCCACACTTTAATGTCAGGTCCATTGAGATGCATATCAACAAAGACTTTTCTGGGGTATTGACCTTTTTTGATGATTCTCCCGAGAATTGCTTGTTTAGGAACTACATAAGTAAGGTAAAATCTTCTATATTTCCAATAATCTCCAATCAATCTGCCATGTTGGGTAACGAACCCGACTACAACGTCATGGCGACACGTAACTCAATTGACCGTCATGTTGACAGTGACACTAGGTTCTCCCGTGGTATGTGGGAAACCAAGGACGGTGTCACAATCAGATGGGCACAAGACTCTTTCAAAACCGTTGTTGAAAAAGATGGCTCTCTCTATAACATGTCTGCAGCTGTTCCGCTAAGAACTAGAGGTGATCAACTTAACAATCCTACAATTTCAACCAGATTGAACTCGCCACATGAAGGGATCATCAAAGTTGAGCACTACCATCACTATTCCAAATATAAGACCGACACAAACAACTCAGCAAGGTTTGAGATTCAGGATGAAAACAAGAACGATGACAGCTTCAGTGTTACAGAAAATGATGATCATTCAAGTGTATCTAATGGTGATTTAAAAGCCACAGTTCAAAAGAAAGGATGGGGTATAGACTTCAAGAGCGGTGATAAGCTGCTGACAAAGCTGGGATTCAGATCAGTTGGTTGGGTCAACGATTCTCGTTACATTAACTCCCAAGGTAAGAACTCGACATATATAACAGTTCAACTCCACGTTAGTAACGGCGAGAAATTTTTTGGTCTCGGTGAGAGGTTTGGACCTTTTGTTAAAAATGGGCAAAGGGTCGAGATGTGGAATGAAGACGGTGGAACGTCTTCAGAATGGGCATACAAAAATATCCCATTTTTCATTTCCAATAGAGGATATGGTGTGTTCGTCGACTCCACGTCTGATGTGGTTTATGAAATCCAATCTGAGAGGACCACAAGGGTGAACATGACAATCCCAGGAGAAGGTGTGCGTTACTACATAATTAACGGACCTGATCCCAAGACAATCTTACAGAGATATGCTCATTTAACTGGTCATCCTGCCCTTCCACCTCCATGGACTTTTGGCCTATGGTTAACAACTTCTTTCACCACTGATTACGACATAAACACTGTTTCTTCTTTCTTGCAAGGGATGAAGGATCGTGAAATTCCATTGAGAACGTTTCATTTCGACTGCTTTTGGATGAAAGGGTTCCAATGGTGTGACTTTGAGTTTGATAAAGATATGTTTCCAGACCCGAAAGCCATGCTGGCTAAGCTTAAAGAGGACTTTGGAGTTAAGATCTGTGTTTGGATTAATCCATACATTGCACAAGAGTCTAAGCTGTTCAAAGAAGGTGATGAAAAGGGTTTTTTCATTAAGAACTTAGATGGCTCGTCCTACCAAACTGACTTATGGCAGGCAGGTATGGGGATAGTTGACTTCACAAACCCGGAGGCAACAAAGTGGTACCAAGGCCTACTTTCAGGTCTTGTTGATATTGGTGTTGATTCTTTCAAAACCGATTTTGGGGAAAGAATTCCATGTAAGGGAGTCAAGTATTTCAACGGTAACGATCCGGTGAGTATGCACAATTACTACACATTCCTCTACAACCAGGCAGTCTTCAAAGTTTTGGAACAGAAACTGGGTAAGAATGAGGCGTGTTTATTCGCAAGGTCTGCAACTGCTGGGTGTCAACAATTTCCTGTACACTGGGGCGGAGACTGTGAATCAACTTTTGAAGCGATGGCGGAGACCATTAGAGGGGGCTTATCTTTAGCTCTTAGTGGGTTTGGGTTCTGGTCCCATGATATCTCTGGATTCGAAGGTCTTGAGAACCCTGACCCAGCACTGTACAAGAGATGGGTCCAGTTCGGACTATTGTCTTCCCATTCGAGACTGCATGGTTCGTCGACTTATAGAGTCCCGTGGAATTTCGATGACGAATCATCAGTCGTTTTAGCAAAGTTTTCCAAGCTCAAGAACTCATTGATGCCTTATATTTATGACTTGGCAATTGAGGCGCATAAAAATGCAGTCCCAGTCATTAGACCATTGATGATGGAATATCCCGATGATATTGTTGCTACTACAATTGACTCTCAATTCATGCTAGGTGATAAGCTATTGGTGGCGCCAATCCTCTCAAAGAACAATGAAGTTGTTTATTATCTTCCAAGAGGTTCATGGTACGGCTATTTAGACGGTATAACAAGGGAATCAACCGGAGAGTATTTTAAGGAAACGCATGATTTCAAATCTATGCCTCTTTTGGTGAGATCAAACTCTATCTTTGTTACCTCGGGACAAGACATTTGCAATGAAAGGCCAGACTATGATTATACACAAGATGTATTGGTTAACTTGTTCGACTTACACGATGGAGAACAGAACGTGCAGATTCCAGATCATAAGATGTTGGGTGATTTCTCCGCATTTGTGACTGTTCAAAAAAGAGGTGCAGATGTTCAAGTTTCTATTTCGGGCAGCTACGGTTCTTTATCCGTGAGATACCTTGGTGTTGAAAAAGTTGAAACCACAGAGAAACAGACGTACGATGAGTTTGGAAACGTCATTGTAATTGCTTCTGGCCCAACAGTTACATTCAGCGTTTAGTGGGCCCTTGGGAATGTGCATCTTGTATAGTAACATAGTATTTAAACTTTACATTTATCCGTATGAATTTGTTGTTTTCAATAATTATTGGGCATGCGCGGCTTTCTTACACTTTAAGTCCGTAATGGCATGACTCAATGGGGTGGCGGGCTTCCGCTGCCGTTGCCGCTGATTCGTTAAACGTAGGGTGTGATAACTCTGGGTAATTGGGCTCATAGACTGGAAGGGGTGCAGATTTAATTTTTTAACCGCCTTTCCCCCGCGTATTTTCGCCTAAATATGTGGTCCATAATAATCCGAAGGGACAATGCGGAGAAACTACTTGTAACATATAAAGAGCTCGAATTTCATTACTCAGTTCCTCAAATTTTCAATTATGTGAGGGTGCGAGAATGAATAAATCCTTGAGAAGCCAGAATAATAAGAGGCAACACAACAGACCCTGTGATGCGTGCTCTGTGAGAAAGGTGCGGTGCGATCTCCATGAGAGGAACGGGTTATCATGTACGAATTGCTCGAACCATGGAATAGATTGTACTGATGTTAGAGTGAGGAGAAAATCAGGTCCGAAACGTATACGGCAAGAAACCAAGAATCATATACTTGAGCTTGTATCCGGGTCTCAGGCTCGAACTCAGCAGTTCAGCCTCAACCAGATCATACCATACCTTCAGGTGTACCAAATGTGGTTCTATCCAATGTGGCCAATAGTTTCAACAAAGGAAACGATATCTATGCTTGAAGGCAATTCCTCAAGTCCTGATAGCCCTATACAGTTGGTAAATGATAAAGTTGCAGAGCTCTACGCGCTGAGTTGTGCAGTTTGTGCCGCCGTTTCAAGACATAAACATTTCTTGCGATCGTTGGATGGTGTTTTCAAGCTGAATGGCTGTCCTCAACCAAGCGAGTATATCGAAGAGGCCCGAAGGGTAATTTATGAAAGAGAGCTCAAGATGAACCCGACTCCTAATCTTCTGGTAACCTCCTATTTCATGTACATGTACTATGATAATGTCCCAGGCGGCACAACACGAGGATTGGTTTACATCAGAGAGGCGGTCTCGCTGGCCCATATAATGGGACTCCATGAAAAGCAAACATATGCTTCGAAGTCTCCGGTGGAATCGCATTATTTGAGAAAGATCTACTATCAAGTAATGATTACTGAAAGGTATATTGGCTTTGAGTGCAACTTGCCTGTAATTCTCGAGCCAAATGACATTGAGATCCCATCTCTGCAAGATGACGATTATCCTGATCTGCTGTTGGGGTTTACAGAGTTGGCACATGTTTTCAGCAGCACTGATAACTATTTCTTCAAAGAGTTACAGAGCAACAGGTCCAAACATAGTAGTTTGAATGACTTTTTGAGCTCGATGTTTCCCACTCAAGACGATTCTGTTAAGAAGAACTGGTTGTACCAAATACAGAAGAAACTCTGCCGCAAAATTCAAAGCGATTGCACTGTTACTGATGCTCAGAAGGTGAACATTATTCTGTCAAAGGCATGGTTCCAGAGCTTGGCATGGTTGATGTCTTCAGAAAACTTCCTCCTTCAAGAAGATGTAGACTCGACCCACTGCTTCAGCACGAGCTATCCTCTCAGCATTGCGAAGGAATTCCTAAAGTCCACCAATGGGCTACCTGACTATGCTTTTGAATCGAACGGGCCTGGTGCAGCGATGAAACTTTTGGAGATTGCAAATTCTTTGTACACTTCCAGCATCACCATGTTGGATCCAAGTTGTGAGCCAATGACTTTGGACTGTTTAAATGAGATATTCAGCATGGTGGTAAGGTTGAAGAGCGATATGGAATTGCCAAAAGATATATATGGGAAAATTTTATCATTTTTGGAATCCAAGAGGTTCTCCCAAACAAGACTTCTTTCTGACCATGAAGCTCTTCTCTATGAAATGAAAGAGGGAAAAATTGAAGAGATTTTTGAAAGTTATGACAACAGCAATGCCACGAACTCCATCGCACTACCTCAACAAACAAAGGAGTTATCTCTTTCGAGGTCATCTTCTGTTTTGTTATTGACGGAGATGCAAGATTCATCGGTGACACCAAATTGTTGGTCGCCATTCTTATTGAGTAGTACATAGAGTACATTCTTTAATCGCTAAAATTAACTGTGTTTTCGTTGCATATAAAGCTCTCATAGCTGCTATTTCCATTTTTGTGTCAAACTGGGGCAGGAGATACCAGCTTTGGCATTCCATAAATCCTCTCAAAAGCAACACCATAGGAGAGCACACACCACAAGCTTCTATAAAAACAGTGGCACAGTCGCTTTGAATATCCTGCTAGAATCCTGCTAAAGCATCACAGTGATAGTAACCCCTCTAACAATGCCTAACGTTTCCAAACAAAGCCAGCAAGGTTCTCGTATAAGGTGAGCATAGATCATTTAACTGATTTATGTGGACAACTAACACAGCTTAGACTTCCACCAATCAGCAAAATACTCGAAAACATCAAAGATTTTGCTCAGCAACATCCGTGGTGTGTACGGTCAGAATACTATGATTCAAATGTTCCTTACCCGTGTGGGAGAGGTTTGATGCATGATTTAACCGTTTACCATTTGAATTCGGGAAAGACATTCGTCAATGATGGTACCCGCACACCAATAGGCACCGTCGTACATACTGTTCCGTGTAATAATGATGTGTACAGATCATATACAAGCGAAACGGAGGATGACAACCGCAGAGTATCCGAGAGCTCCATAGATATGCTAACGACAGTTGCAATACAGAGACTTGCAGAGGAGCGCGAATCATCAATAGCATCAACAGCAACAACAACGGCAGACGAATTGGTCGATGTTGAACCATCAAACACCAAGTGGCCTACGGTTGTGACAAAGAGCAAAGCTGACACATCTGAGCCATGCACACCGCTAATCAACCACGTTTCAAAACCAAAAGCATCTGTGACCACGACCCAACAGAGAAAATGTCAACAATGTGGGAAGACTTCAACGCCAGAATGGCGTAGAGGCCCCGTGGGACCACGCACCTTATGTAATGCATGTGGTCTCTTCTATTGCAAACTTGTCAAGAAAGTTGGAGAAAGAATTGCTCGTGAGAAATTGTTGACTAGAAGTAGAGTTGGTTAAAATGCATGTTGAAAGCGTGGACAAGTACAAAAATAAATGTCCGTAGCGGGTAAACTGTAACCGTAAGCTTTTCGTGATGTCTGGATGTTTTCCACGTATATTAAATTGAGAACCAGAGTTGGTAATGGTGGAGCATCAGATGAGAGACAATGGCACCAAGGTTCAATGGCTTCTCCAATATTTCTATCGAATCCTAGCCCTGGGTTCTCTCACATTTCTATAGTGAAGGGTATACTAATTGCATTGTCGGGGATTTTCTTTCAACGTCATGTCCTTTGGAGAGATCTTAAAATTAGAGAGTTCTTTGTCACCACTGTACTCATCTCGTTGCTGGTTCGACTTGTAATTGAGATCCCCCACTTGCTCGGAGCCATTGTTACGAGACTCCTGAGATTAATCAACATAGACGTCGATTTCTCTCTTATTCTTACAACGATAACTGATGATATCTTGGAGCTCAGATGGTTGGCCTTGGTTGCGGTTTATTGCTATATGTACGATTCGTTTGAGTACCTATTCATGACGGGGTTGAAGAAGTTGGATGCAGAGTCTCAAAGTGAGCCCCCTTATTCTGAATACCTCCTAAGAGCTCATACAATCGATATACACACTACGGTTCCCTCATGGTTTCCAAAAGTTGATGTAACACTGGCCCAAAAGAGATTTCTTGTACAGCTACTTCGCTCGTATGCATTGATTTGCTTGAACACAGCAATGCTGATGGGAATCACCAAATTCGGGCCCCTGGGTATTGTTCTTACCGCTCTATACATATCGAAGTGGTTCAGTCACATGATTGGATCCCAATTGACATTCGTACTCTTCTTGGTGGGGTTGGTTGTGCCAACTGATTTCACAATCAAGAGCTTTGCGTCTGTGAACCTGTCACTGTTGACGGTGAAATCTCTATTGACCATGCCATATTTCCAGAAAATAAGACTCTCTGATGTTAAGATTGAGAACTGGATAGAATCAAGAATAGGGTTGATAGTGGGATTTGGTCTTTTCTTCCATCTAGCATCACGTCATTTCAACATGTTGGGTTTGACAATCGTTTTGCTTGAGCAACTAGCACTTTCATACATGATCTTTAAAACCACAAGCCCAGTACAGGAGATTACTGATGAGAAGTGGATATTAACACAGATATCATGTCCTTTCTTGTTTGAAGGATTGCAAGTAACCACTCTCACACCAGGATTCGTACTGATCAAGGAATCATTACGATATGACCAAGAGACACCATCGGAAACTCCATCAAAGTTCTCGACGCCGTTACCGTCATCAACCAATTTACAAAACCTTTCTGAGCATTAACACATCTACATCAATGGCATTGATTTCATTTAAGAATGGAATATAACTAAATACATCAGGATCATAATATATGTACTCTCCCTTTTTTGATTCTTCCTTTGGTTTGTTGTTTCATTTGTTGTTCATGTAAAATAGGGTACGGTCTAAGATCAAAACACACAATCACACACGAAATAAATACTTCTAGACAAGTACGCAAACAAAACTGAGAAAAGCCGTCTTGGTTTATCCTTGATTGAATTATGCTAAATTTGTCATGCACATGTGGAACTCCTCTTAGTTTACAACTCATCGGCGTATGGCAAGTTGTGCACGTCACCAAGAGCAACGTAGTTGAACTTACCCAGCTTGAAGTCTTTAACGTTAGCGACATCAATCTCAGATGCAATCACGGCACTTTCGTTAGCCAAGGCCAACTTGGTGGCAGCGTAGCCAGTAGCAGATGAGAGGTTAACACCGCCCTTCAAAGCAGAGACAACCTTCTTGATGCTAGAAGCAACAGCAGAAGCCTCACCCTTGACGTACAAGGAGAAGAGACCAGCTTGGGAGTACTTCTCAAAGGAGGCAGACGAGATGGATTGTGAAAGCTCAGACAATGGTGATGTCAAATAAGCAGCCAAAACTTCATAGGTGGCAAAGTCTGCTGGCTTAACTGGAACAGCAATAGCAGAGATGGACTCACCAACAGCTCTCTCTCTAACTTCAACACCTTCGTAGAACTTTGGTGTGGAAGTAGCAGCGAGGGAAGCACCAGCTGGGAGCTGACTCAAGGCAGAGTCCTGGACGAAACCATTGAGAGCCTTGGCGTCAACACCCTTAGCAATGATCTCAACGTTGTCCTTGACATAGACCTTGTCGGCAAATGCCTTGATGTCATCCAAGGTCACCTTTTCGACACCGTCGTAGTAGAGTGGGTTACCCAATCCGTTTCTGAAGGAGGCAGAGTACAACAATTCGCTAGCCTTGAAGTATGGGGAGGCCAGAGCGGTGGTCAAGTCGTACTTGGCAGCTGGCAAGACAATCTCTGGAAGTTCGTGTGGCTTGAAAGAGGTCTTGTACAAGACATCGGCAATTGCGTTAACGTAGTATGGGAGACCCTCTTTCAAAAAGTTGGCAGACAAGTAAATGGCATCTCTGTCAACAGTGGAGGAGAACACACCACCCAAGAGCTCAGATTCTCTGGTCAATCTCAAGGCAGATCTGGATCTGGTGTTTTGGAAGTTGAATCTGGAAAGCAAGTGGGAAACACCATCCTTGGTGGCATATCTGGAACCAGCGTTCACCTTGACGGTCAAGGTGGAAACTCTACCTTCGGCGGCAGTGGCGGTGACCTTAGTGGCGTAACCTCTAGTGGATTGAATAGATGCCAATCTTCTGGAAAGCATTGCTATTGTTGTATTTGATGGTTTCTAGAGAAGAAGATTCGAACAGGCTCCTTTTGGACTTTTCTTCAAAGACTGTGTGTATATGTTGTTTTTTTATTCTGTTGTTCGTAGGAGAACTTTTTCGAATCCAATGGGAAGCCCAGCGTGCGCGGAGCAGCGAGAATAGCGTTAAAACTAATGCCCCAGGGGGCAAGGAAAATTTTCGATCACTGCGGAACGCAAAACAAAAGAGAAAATTAAAAATTCGCACTCTCTGATTGGGTGCTTACTTACGAGGGCAGAAACGTGATATGTCATGTGACTGTTAAAGTCGAATCTCAATCCCCTTCTCCCTTGTAGACACGTAAACGCTAACGGGGTGTGCACGTACACCTTTTTCTTTTCTTCACCATTTTGAAACGCGTCTTTTCAACAGCTTTATCACTATAAGCAAAAACATCAGTATAGGTACAACCATGGCTATTGAAAACACTGTTGTGGTTCCAGCATACCACGAGAAGCTCAACATCAGACCTCTCACCACTAGACTCTTTGCTGCTTTGGGCAATGGCGATTCCAAGAAGACCGAGTTGATCTTTGTCGATGATAACTCCAACGACGGTTCTGTTGAAGAGGTTGAGAAGCTCAAGACCGAAGGTTACAATGTTAGAATCATTGTCAGAACCAAGGAAAGAGGTCTCAGTTCGGCAGTTATGAGAGGCTTTGAAGAAGGTCAAGGTGAATACTTGCTCTGTATGGATGCTGATTTACAGCATCCACCAGAGAGTGTTCCAGATTTCTTCAAGGCTCTCAGAGAGTACCCATTTGTTATCGGCACAAGATATGCCGATGGTGTTGGTATCGATAAAGACTGGCCATTGTATCGTCGTGTAATCTCATCGGGTGCGAGACTGCTTGCAAGACCTTTGACACCTGCATCAGACCCAATGAGTGGGTTCTTTGGTTTGCAGAAAAAATACTTGAAGGGAGCAAACAACATCGACACCCAAGGCTTCAAAATCGCCTTGGAGCTGCTGGCCAAGTTGCCATTACCAAGTAAAAACCCAATTGGTGAGGTGCCATACTCATTCGGTGTTAGAACCGAAGGTGAGTCGAAACTTTCCAGCAAAGTCATGATCCAATACCTTGAGCAATTGAAGGAATTGTACCTCTTCAAATACGGTGCCGGCCCATTGCTTGCAGTTTTAGTCCTCTTGGTTGTCGTTGCGTTCTACATTCTTAGCTTGGTGTTTTAATACATTGTGATCCGTTAGGCTGTCAACTTATGTGCATAGTAACGTGGTGATGTTCGGTACGGACCCTCCATACATGCCACCCGTGCATTAGCCCCCTCCCCCCGACAAGGGCTGCGCAGCGGGAAAAGCAACCAAAACCGTAGCAAGTTCTCATTGCAACAGTAAAGATCTTTTGTAACCGTATCGAAAACACCGTTCCACCACTCCTGGATACAACTTTCGGTTCACAACGAAACTCAGCGTTCAATGACTACGCTATTGCTAAGAGTTGACGAGAACGGCCATCCTTCCAATGATGGTGTGAAGTTTCTGCCTTCTTTACCGTTACCGAAGGATTATAACAAGGGTGGCTTTCTTTTCAACGTTAGATTGTTCCTCCCAGCTTCTTGTCGTATAGCAAGAAACGGTAGGATATGGACAAACGTTCCACCTGATCCTGCAATTGAATTCCACAGAGACAGTTTCTACAAGAAGACGATCCCAGAGCAGTTCACGTCTGATATCGAGATTGATATCAAAGTTTATCAACCAGGATGTTACTCCTACTACGCTTCGTTTACCGGTGATGACGGCAAGTTGGAAACTACGAGAAGATTCTACTTTGTGGTACCCCCTTCTCTCTACATTGGTGATACTTTCCTGCCTTTGAATTCTATCGCTATGGAGTCTGTTGTTTCAAAATGGCTCGGTCCTAGGGAGAAGTGGGACGTCGTGTTCAAGGATGTCAAGCGTAAGGGTTATAACATGGTTCATTTCACACCGCTACAGCAACGTGGTGAGTCCAACTCTCCATACTCGATCTATGATCAGACTGAGTTTGATAAGGATCTGTTCAAAGATGAGGAGGATGTTGAGTCCTTCATCTCCCACTTACACAAGGACTATGGATTGCTGTCTGTTACTGATATAGTTCTAAACCATACTGCGAATAATTCACAGTGGTTGAGGGAACACCCAGAGGCTGGCTATAACAAGGAAACTGCTCCACACTTGACATCTGCTATTGAACTAGATGGTGAGCTTTTGAAATTTAGCAGCAAGTTAAGAACCCTGGGATACCCAACAGAGGTAAACAGCATCGAGGATTTGCTGTCAATTATGGAAGGTATTAAGGAACATGTTATTGGAACATTAAAGCTGTGGGAATTTTATGTGGTGAATGTTGAAGACACATTGGAGAGCACTAAGAAGGTTTGGTCCACAACTTCTAAAGGTTCAACGGTGATTGACGTTCCTGATGAGGTAAAATCTTCGACTGAAAGGATTGCTGAATTCGTTTCAGATGTTGCTGGCACCTTTACGCTAAAGCATAGATACTCCAATGCAGTCGAGCCAGTGATCTTCGCCGCTATTCTTCAATCGATCTATGGTGATGGTGACTTTGTTGACATTGAGCAAAGAGCCAAGGAGATCTTGAACGAGGTAAACTTGCCTCTGTACAAGGCATACGATGGTGATATCAGCATTATTCTGGAACAGTTGTTCAACAGAATCAAGTACCTTAGACTCGATAGCCACGGGCCAAGACTAGGTAAAATCACAGAGTCGAGTCCATTGACTGAGCCATACTTTACTCGTTTTACTGGAACTGATGGAAATGAGTACCAGTTGGCCAATAACGGTTGGATTTGGGGTGGTGATCCTTTGGTTGATTTTGCCTCTGACAAATCCAAGAACTATTTGCTACGTGAAGTCATCATTTGGGGAGACTGCGTCAAATTGCGTTATGGAAAAGGACCACAGGACTCTGAATACCTCTGGTCGAGAATGTCCAGATATGTTCAGATCAACGCTAGAATATTTGATGGGTTCCGTATCGACAACTGCCATTCGACGCCTCTCCATGTGGGTGAATACTTCCTGGACCTTGCAAGAAAGACAAACCCTCACCTATACATTGTGGCTGAACTATTTACTGGTTCAGAGTCTATTGACAATCTCTTTGTTGAGAGATTGGGTATCACTTCTTTGATCAGAGAAGCCATGCAAGCGTGGTCTGTTGAAGAACTCTCAAGACTTGTTCATAGACATGCTGGTGCCCCAATTGGTTCCTTCCAGCCATTACCACTTGATGATTTTGCTTATCCTGCAAAAAATGAGGGCTTTTTGATCAACGACACTCTATCAGAGATCCAAATCCCACGTATTTTGGAATCAACCAAGACCCACGCGTTGTTTATGGATTGTACGCATGATAACGAAACTCCGTTTGACAAGAGAACAGTTGAAGACACTTTGCCAAACGCCGCACTTGTGTCATTATGTTCCACAGCCGTTGGATCTGTCTTTGGGTACGATGAGTGCTACCCACATCTGTTAGATGTGGTTAACGAGAAGAGAATGTATACCGTTGGTGGTGGAATTGGAGATGTGAAGGAGAAACTTTACAATATTAGAAAGTCGATTTCTGATTCGTCGTTTATTGCAGAGGATCATGAAATGCACGTACACCATGATGGTCAATATGTCACCCTTCAGCGTGTCAATGCTAAAACTGGAGAAGGTTGGTTCCTCATCACCAGATCGAAGTTTTACCAGGACCAGGATCAATGGTTGGCTCCTATTGTATTGAAAGGAACCACAGCTGAATTTCAATTTGCTTATACATTAGTAAGAACTGGTGATCCAAGCAAGGATGACAAGTACATAACTGGTGTTCCTACGGAAGTGCGTTCTTTGCAACCTTTGAGAGTTGAACATTCCGATGGTGACGCTCACATCAGACTTCCAGACGAGTTCCCACAAGGTTCTATTGCAATTTTGAAAACACAGTTCAACTCAGTTGATAGTAAACTTGACTCATTCTTGCGTACCGGTGCTGTTGATTCTACAAAGGGACTCTCCCTGAGTGATATCAACGTTCTCTTGTACAGATGCGAGTCTGAAGAGAGAGATGCAAGCGCTGGAACTGATGGTGTTTACAACATTCCAAACTACGGACGTTTGGTGTACGCTGGATTACAAGGTTGGATATCTGTGTTACGAAATGTGATTAATTCAAACGATTTAGCACATCCTATTGCACAGCACTTGCGTAACGGTACCTGGGCCTTGGACTATGTCACTAGAAGACTGGACAAGTATTCTGATGGTGATGGTGTTGATACATTCCGTATATGGCTGAAACATAGAATGGAGAGGATCAAGGAGGTTCCATTCTTCTTGGTTCCAAGATACTTTGCTCTGGTTATAGGAGTTGCCTATGAAGCTTTAAGACTGAAGGCTTTATGTCTTTTATCGGCAGAAATCCAAACTGGCAATCTCTTTGTCCAACGTTTGGCCCTCACATCCTACCAGATGGTTGGCGAGATGCGTTCAACTTCTCTTTCACCATTCAAAGCTGTCGAGTGTATGGCTGCTGGTCTTCCTCACTTCAGTTACGATTATATGAGATGTTGGGGCAGGGACGTGTTCATCTCCACTAGAGGCTTGTTGCTTGCTACAGGGAGATTTGACGATGCTAAGAATCACATCCTGAATTTTGCTTCAACGTTGAAACACGGATTGATCCCAAACTTGTTGGATGCTGGAAGAAACCCTCGTTACAACGCAAGAGATGCGGCTTGGTTCTTTGTTCAGTGTATTCAGGATTATGTTGATATTGTACCAAATGGTGAAGAAATTTTGAAGGAGAAGGTTAAGAGACGATTCCCTTTGGATGACAGATACATCACTTTTGACGATCCAGAGGCGTTCAGTTATGAGACTTCAATCGAGGATATCGTTTATGAGATCCTTAGTCGTCATGCGAAGGGTATCGAATACCGTGAAGCCAATGCTGGTCCACGCTTGGATAGTCAGATGAAGGATGAAGGTTTTAACGTGAAAATTTTTGTTGACTGGACCACTGGGTTGGTTCATGGTGGTTCTCAACTCAACTGTGGTACTTGGATGGACAAGATGGGTGAAAGTTCCAAAGCTGGGAACAAGGGTATTCCTGGGACTCCTAGAGATGGTGCGGATGTCGAAATAAACGGTCTCTTGAAAAGCTGTTTAAGGTTTGTGATTTCTCTGAACAAGCGTGGTCTCTTTAAGTATACGGAAGTTATCAAGGATGACGGTTCCAAGATATCTCTCCAGGACTGGAATCAGCTCATACAGGATAAGTTTGAATGGGCGTTCTACGTCCCAAAGGATCCAAAGGATGACCACAAGTATGCGGTTAACCCCAATATTGTGAACAGAAGAGGCATTTACAAGGATATTTACAAATCAGGCAAAGAATACGAAGACTACCAACTCAGACCAAATTTTGCCATTGCCATGACTGTTGCACCAGAGCTCTTTGACCCGCAGAGGGCTTACGATGCTCTGAAATTAGCAGATGAAGTTATTCGTGGGCCACTAGGTATGAGAACTTTAGATCCATCTGATTTGAACTATAGACCAAACTATATCAACTCTGATGACTCTGACGACTTTGCTGTTGCCAAGGGAAGAAACTACCACCAAGGTCCAGAATGGGTATGGTGTATGGGCTTCTTCCTAAGGGCATTGCAGAAGTTCCACCTAAAAGTTTACCATGAAACCAGCTCCACTGCAGTTGCCGATCTTTACCAGATTCTCACCGTCAGACTCGACAGACATAGACATTGGATCAGAGAAAGTCCATGGGCCGGTCTCACCGAGCTGACAAATAAGGATGGTGCTCTATGTTCTGACTCGTCACCTTCACAGGCGTGGAGCACTAGTTGTTTGCTTGATGTATACTACGACATCTGGAGTGATAAAATTTAACCTCCGACTCCACCCCATATTTTGCTTAGAGAGCTTTATACATTAGATTGAACTATTAGATTAGTGTTATTTTTTTGATTACCATCAACCACATCATAACAGAAACAAAAGGGTCTTTATTTGATTTGAGCGTCATCTGGTGTAGCTGGCACAGGTTGGTCACATGTTGATTGCGTTATCTCTAAGGCTGAGAACGGGGTAAAAACGCGATAGTGGGTCACAACCAGAAATTTGCCTATATAATCAGCGCACTACTATAATTAGGCAGATAGAGCCTCCTCTTCCACCGTCGTATAAAAACACTGAAGGAACCCGCCACCATAATAAGGAGCAATAGTGCTGTTGCCGTGGTATCACATTTCATCACCAGCAATGTCAGCATCCAACAAGAAGGAAAAGATTGGACAGGTGGTGCAGAACTTCTACCTCAAGGCTGCCAATGTGATTGTGCAATCGCGTCAAACCAATGGCCAAGGGGAACAACAAGAGCCACCGAGTATTGGTGGTGACAAATCCGCTGGGAAGCTGAACAAGTGGTTTAACTTGAATACCAATGATCTGCCACGTGAAGATCTCAAGCCATGGAAGACAGGCTCTGTATCGTCGCTCCCGCCGTTGGTTGTTGAGACGTACCTAGACTTGAGATCACTAACGCCCAAACATGCCCTGCTGGTAAAGGATGAGCAAGGTGGTACATGGAATATCAACACAAAGAAGTCGGAGATCGTGATGGAAAGATGGCTTATCGAGTTGGATCGAGACGTGTTTACGGAGGAAGATGTAGAGGAGGAGGACTTGCCCCTCGTGTACAAGAAGTTGATCCTAACATTCCGATACTTGTTTGTCATTTCAAGGCTGTTGCCATGTTTCAAGTTGATGAAGAAGTTGAACAAGGCGAATTTGACCCGGGTTCCTCTGAGGGTTGGCGCTAGAATCATGGATGGCACCAAACAGATAGTGTCGAGAGGGAGAATTGGGTTGAGTAAGCCTATGGTTACAACATCGGAGGACCATCTTCTCAAGAAATATATGAGCCCAGTGACCACTCGTTTGGGAGCGTTGAGAATATCTGTGACTTACCGTAAGCACATCAACTTCCAAATCAGCGATAACGAGGAATCCCTATCGAATCATTTTCAACACATTGACAAGTATAAGAATACTGCATCAGTTCTAAAGACGTTCAAATTAGGACAGGCATCGCCGCCAACCAGTGTTTCTTCATCAACGAGGAACGGTTCAAATGGTTCGATTGCTCAGGCCCTCAAGATACAAAGAAGCGGGTCTACCGGTACAACAAACAACGTTAACGCTAATAGTAACAACATCAACTCAATTCCAAGATCAATAACATCATCCGTGGGGTCTATGGGTATCCCTCAACACCCCCAGGATGTTCCAATATCATCTGGGAGCACTCCTAAGTACTCTTCCTCCTTTGGTAAGATTACAAGACGCTCCAGTTTGAGAAGATCATCGTTGTCAAGTTCCAAACAGCCATCACCGGTTGACGACGATGAGATAAATGATTTTGTGAGGATGTTGGATAACAAATCAGATCTCCAATTGCACTACTCCAACAATGTTCGTGATTCCTTGGAGAAGTACCAAATGCTAAAGAGTCGAAATGATCTATTGACTGAAAGCATGACTGCAAGCATGTACTCCAAATCCCACTCACCTCCGCCTTCTATTCCTGCTGCCGGCACACCGTCAAGTTCACTATGGCCACACAGACAAACTTCTGGCTCTCCTCGCTCAGCATATAATTATTCAATCCCAATGATGCCGTCCAAGTTATCTGAGACAACAAGCAGTAATGAATCATTGCCTGTTAGAGATAAGAGTGGTCCAATATCTAGGGCTGGTTCTGCATCACCTGGCTCAATATTCAAGAGAAGTGGAACAAAGACATTTAATATTGGTCCTTCAACCCCTACAATTGCATCAACACAAACACATGCTAAACTACATCGTACTCATCAAACTGGATCCATAGATTCTGCACAGGAATTGCCAACCGCAACTCAAGGAGGCGATGAGGAAGATGATGAACTTCTCTTCACTATGAGCGATATGCACATTGCCAAATGAACAAGTGAACGATTACACTTAACCGCAGACGAACGGCTATTTATGACGCTTACAATTCAATTTCAATGACTTTCTTTATTACGCCTTTAGTATATAAAAGATTCCCGTCGTATTGTCCCTTGTATTAGATGTATCTAGATCATTTCATCAGAATGATTGGGCGAAGAAACGATGCCATTTGTATCTGATGTCCTAGAAACCATTAATAAACCCTTTGCTGCGTGCAATTCAGCACACTTTTCATGCCATGTCAAGTGTCTCTTTAGATCCATATCTCTTTTAAACATACGAGAACAGTTCTTATGGTGGCATTGTACAACATCATCAGGTTTTTTAACTGTTGACAATAATATTTCAATGGCTGGCTTCTTTGACAGCATTGTCTCCACCTTTTCCGTGCTGAGAATCCTCGAAGCCGGAGGTTCGCTCTTGGCTACGGCGATTTTGACACTGTTTGGTATAAACATGTGCACCTCGTTGCAATGTGTCAACAGCTCCTCCTTTTTCAAGAACTCTGAAGGACATTCTGAGCATTTCCATCTTTTGTGAGATTTTTCATCGTCATGAACAAGCATGTGCATTCTTAAACCTTCTTGACCGACACATCCCTTTCCGCAAACAATGCACATCAACTTCGGATGGTCAGTCTTCATGTGCAGTTGCAGTGCAGACCAAGTCTTCAAGTGTTTTAAGCATCCAGGGTAATCGCACGGATAAGCTGGCGACGCACCATGGTGTCTTGTCATGTGGTTAGCCAACCTATATGGTCTCGGGAACGTTTTACCACAATCCTTACATGTTAGCGTTTGCAAATGAACAGATTGAACATGGTGCCTCAGCTGCTGGTGTTTATAGAATGCCTCACCACACCCTTCGTAGTCACATTCGAACGACTTTGTATGAGTAACTTCATGACGCTTTAGGTGTTGTCTGGTGTTAACACCTTTCCCGCATACCGAGCACTTGAAGGGTTTCTCATCCGAATGTGATAGCATATGTCTTTTCAAGTGTGACTCCCTGTAAAACGCACTTGAGCATATCTCACATGTAAACGGCCGTGAATCAGTGTGCGATCTTTGATGTTGTGTCAGAAGACTTGGTCTCGAGTATACCTTATCGCATCCCTCATAATCACAGTGGTAGATCTTGGGCCTTGATGACTGTGACGACGACCGTGAAGAGCCACACGACGTTAGCCCTGTGTCAACAGAATTTTCACGTCCTCTGGAGGAGCGTGAGGAGTCACCACTGACCATTGTAAACCAAACAGTTGATGAGAAGAAGGTGTTTATATACAAAGCGATGAGATGTAATCGCTAAAAAAGTTTTTCTTTTGTACTGTCACAAAAAGAAAAAACAATGGGGGGGGGGGAAACGATCACGTGAGGCTTACATAATCACTTTTGTGTTTCTCCCAACACGGACGAAAACTTTTCTCAGCCTAAATTCATTAACCATCGTTTCGGTCTAAATTGGTGTTAGTTTCTCTCTCTAATTGCAAGGATTCGAGGTGTACAAGGGCGGCTCTCAGTATAAACAATGTCTGATTACGGTGATGATGCATTCAACGAAGGTAACGAGAACTTTGAAGACTTTGACCAGGAGTACAACTCTGACTACGAAGACTTGCAACCAGTAGAGGAAGTTGCAGAAGATGGAAGAGTAATTGTCAACGGTGGTACTGGAGCTGAGGGATTCAACAATGATCAACAAAGAAGAAAGACCACTAAGGAGCTTGCTATTCCTAAGGAGAAGAGAACAACGACTCCATATATGACCAAGTACGAAAGAGCCAGAATATTGGGTACCAGAGCACTGCAGATCTCCATGAATGCACCAGTGTTGGTGGACCTTGAAGGTGAAACTGATCCACTTCAAATCGCCCTTAAGGAGCTCTCTCAAAGCAAGATCCCACTTGTTATAAGAAGATACCTTCCGGATGGAAGTTATGAAGACTGGGGATGTGACGAGTTGATTGTGGATATTGATGTCTAATTTTAAGGTGTAACATTACAAACTGGAAGTGGGGCGGTTCGACAAGAGAAGATAGTTAGAACAGTGTGTAACATAGAAGTCTATTTCACTATAGATCCAAACCCACCCACACACAAAACAAACATAATGAACGGGAAATTAAAAACAAAAGAAATACTTAGTAGAGGATCGACCTAATTCGATAAATAACTGATGAACTCTTTGCCGTTGAACACCTTCTCTCCATCCATACGCTCTTTGGCAAAGTCCGCCAATATGGAGTCCAATTCATCCGTGTCCATGCCAACGTTCTTCAAACTCTCCCTCATTTCGTCCATATTGACCTCGCAATCAAAAGAAAACACCTGTAAGGCGCTTTGAATGTCTGACTTATCGGGCAACTGCGCCAAATCATTGGATATTAGAGAGAGGAAATCTGTGAACCCAACTTCACCTGATGCGAGCATCGAATCAATCTCTTGATCGCTCTTCTCGACGGATATCGACTTGAACGTCTTCTGTAAATCTTCCTTGGAGATGGTCCCATCGCTATCCTGGTCCACTAGTTGAAACGCATCTCGAAGCCTTTCAATCTGTTCAGCAGGAAGCTGTGTAAGCTTGGAACGTTTCTGAGGACTTGTTAAACCATCTGACATCTTTACAAATACGATAAGGTACCGCAATAACTGCTATGAGTAAAGAGCTCAAGATAGAGCTTGTTAAGGAAAAGTTGTGTTTATCTATTTCCCCTTTGAGCCAAATCCGAGGGTGTAAATATTTATTTGTTGGTATCGGTTAACCGGAACTCGGCTACTTCTAATATGGCGTTACAACCGATTTTATTAAGTGAATAACACTGTATTAACCTCATAGGTATTGGCTATCAGTAGAATTTGAAAACCTCCCACAAGGAGATTAGTCTATGCAATTTTGTAGTGAGCATTAGCTCTGTATCGTTCATCTTTTTCAGCTGGGTCAATTCACTAGGCAGTAAGTATTCCAACTCTTTCCCCTTAACGTCATCTCTGTTGATCTTGGAAATCAGCTGTGCGTTTTCAGCTTTCAGCAGTGCAATCTTCTCCAAGATTTTACCCATATTCCAACAGATGTTTGTCTTGAGAGTATTGTTTCCGTGCTTTTCATTCACACGGAACAAAAACACTGACTTGGAAGCTGCACGGTCAGCGGTCTTTGGAACTTCTTGGATCTGTAGCATGTTGTATTTAACCAAAGTGGAGGTTAAGGAACGAGCATCCTTCTCTCTCAACAGAGCAGTAGAGCTGATAAATTTTTCAGAGACGAGTCTATTGCCACGAACACATCTCATGATACGTGCACATGGCGAGCCCAATGTACTGGAGATTATGGAATCAGATAGAGATCTCTTCAAGTGAATCATAAGTTCTGGGTATGGGATGTAGTAGGAAGAGTTTTCCTTCTTCAAGAATGGGATAGAAGAGTTTGTGAGGATTCTTAGATGTTGATCCACAGTTGCAAGTGGTGCGCCATTTTGTACAAAGCCTTCGCCCATGTCGTCAAAATCATCCTCATCATCACTATCATCATCACCATCCATGTCTCCATTTCCAGTTACAGTTCCGTAATCACCATTCTCTAGCTTTATACGTTTAGTGTTGTTGAGCTTTGCAGTTGGCTGTGTACGTTTGGTAACACCAGTGACGATAGAATTATCTAGTGAAAAATCAATGTTCTTAACAATGTCCTTTGCAGCGAACAGGTTATTTTGAAGTGGTTCATAATGTGAACCAAGCACAATTTCCTCATTGGTGAGTCCGATCTGATGCAACAGATTGACAACATCTGGTGAGTTCTTCTCATCGTGCAATAGTGCCTTGTAAAAGACTTTCGATGTGACTTTACCAACTCTATGAGAGCACAACTGAGCCAGTTGAATACTTCTTCGAGATTTCATGTATCTTTTCAAGTTGAATGTTAAAGATATGTTTGAGTTGATCTTCAAGATGGAAGTTGCCTTGTCCTTTAGGTATAGAGCCTCCGGTTCAGCGTTGAGTATATTGAAAAATTGAAGCTTTGCCTTCTCTTTGGCCTCCGCAGTGCGCTTCAACTCGGAAAGAGCAGCTCCATTGGGGACCTGTAGATATGCAGCTTTCATTGTTTTCATCCAAAGATCCTTGACAGGGTAGAAATGTGATTTTTGTACTGGAACCAGGAACTTATCCCTCACCAATTGCATAAAGCATCTCTCCAATTTGTCTATAGTTTCGGCATCTAGAGCACCAAGAGAGGCAATGTAGTCAGAGATGGTCAAGTTACCCAAGCTAAGGAAGTTCTGTACGATTTGGGTAGTGGACGGATCGTTGTTATAGATCTCCTCGATATGTGAAATGATCTCACCAGAGTACAGCATCAAAAGTGCACCGTCCTCTCTGAAGGAATAGAACGTTGTTGTGGATCTGAAGTTTGTCTCCTCCCACACAGAGATACAGTTCAGTTGGATAAGACTAACTAAAGTCTTCTTAACGAGAACTCCCTGCATCTTTGTTCTCTTAACAAGGTCCTTCAAGCTGAGTCGCCCATAGTCAATCAGGCACGAAACCACTGTCGACGCTCTCTTCCCAAGGTACGACTCCACAATCCCAGAGTATACATAGAGCTCGGTGTTCTGAGTCTTTGAGAATGACATCTCGTCCTATAACCTGTCGCTCGTTGGCGTCTATTTGCAATTCCTCCCCTTTTTTGAGCAGAGTGAAGAGAGAGAGAGAGAAAATACCCACAACAAACGTCATCGAGAAAGAGAGAAAGAAAGAGACCAGCGAAGAGGAGGTTGAAAAAAAAAATCTGCATCACGAGTGCCCGTACCGCATCAGAGGTATAACCCCGGTGATGAGATGCCTTCTCGAACCAGCGACATAATTGGCGTTGTAACTCAGGGACCTGTTAGATCGAGGATGAGAAGCCGTATATTGCATGGCTGTATGGGGAGGAGATGTCTGCACAAGCTGTCGAACCCTTCGTCTGTGTTGAAGAAACTACGAGCATCAATTGAAGAAGTGAAGAGGGAAAGTCTAAAGGCAGTTGAGGCTCAAAGAGAAGATGTCAAGCTTGTGAAGAGTAAGTCCAGTGAAAGGAGCTTTAGAAGGGACAGTATCGACCTTTTGAATGAAAAGTACAAGGGCGAATTCAAGGATGAGCTTAGTGCTCATGTCATTGGTGGTGTTACCCACTTCTTTACAAAGGCATACGTGAAATTGGAGTGGACCACTGCAAAGTTTCTGGATATACCTGGTGAGCAAAAGAGATTAGAACAGGAGAGGGTGATGGCATCTCAACAAGAGGAAAATGAGCCAGTCGATGTTGATTTCAAGATCAAGAAGGCTGGACTACCGGAGATTGTATTCTTAGGCAAATGTAACGTTGGTAAGTCCTCGTTGTTGAATGCACTGTTGACTTCTAGAAATGCCAAACAGAATTTGGAGTTTGCATGGGCCTCTAGAAGGGCCGGGTTCACGCAGACCATGAACTGTTTCAACGTTGGTAACAGGTTTAACCTTATAGATACACCAGGGTATGGTGTGAAGGGTAAGATGGAGCAAGGTGAACAGGTGATGGAATACCTCCATAGAAGGAAGGAACTGCGCAGAGTGTATCTCTTAATAGGCGCAGAGGAAGGATTTAGTCAGGATGATTTTACCATCATTGATATGTTATTAGAAGCTGGCGTACCCTTTGAGATAGTCTTCACCAAATTGGATAAGTTGAGGAAGACGAGTAAAGTTGAGCAGCACATCAAAAATAGCGGTGTCTTAACACTACCTTCTCAGCCATCGCTAATCTTCACAAATTCTGAAGTGAACAAGTACCACAGAGAAAGACACGGATTTGAGATATTGAGATGGTCTATATTTGAAGCCTGTGGTTTGCCATATAGTACAAAACCTTTGAAGGTTCAGTAAAAATAAAAGATTTTTAGTTCTTTAGATGTGGAAATATTTCATTATTCACTATTATACACACAAGGAGAAAGCACAGAGCAACTTAGAAACGGCCACGGCCTCTACCACCAAAGCCACCTCTTGAGCCACCTCTACCACCGAAACCACCTCTGGCACCACCACGGCCACCGAAGCCACCTCTGGCACCTCCACGACCACCGAAACCACCACGGGCACCACCACGGCCTCCAAATCCACCACGAGCACCACCACGGCCTCCAAACCCACCACGGGCACCGCCACGACCGGCAGCTCTCTTCTTCTTTGGAGCTGGTGGACCTGCAACCTTTGGCTTTGGCAAGAATCTTTCAATTGGTAAGAGCTTATCTGGAGCAATGTAAAACTTATCTCCATCTTTAAAAGAGTCAGCTTGCACACCCTCGCTTGGCTTGATAGTGAAGAACACCTCGTTCAATGGTCCAAGAATCTCATCCACTTTACCAATCTGGGTCTTGTTCTCAAGGTATATTGGTGCATTAAAGTATGGGATCTTTGTATTGATGGAACGGCAGAAGATATCACCTTCAACTGAATGTACGAATGAGCCCATCTCGAGCACTGAGTCTGGAGGACCTTGTGGGACTGCCGGTCTACCAAAACCACCGCGTCCACCACGGCCTCCACGGAAGCCACCTCTGTTTCCACCCCTGTTCATCTTGTTTTAATGGCTTTTATATGGGAATCTTGAATTGAAGAGAAGCTATAAGCTGTGAAAGAGAAAAGAGAAGCCCATCGCACAAAAATTTTCCAAGCACACTGCGCTTTTCCCAAAAGGGTAATTTACGGGGGCAAGAAAGAGGTCGGATTTGATCCGCGTGTTTGACTGTTGTTTTTGGCCTCGATGGAGCTGTTTGTCTCATCTTATTATGGAAAGAGGACATAAACACACCAAGGATACCGTTGCTTTCAGTGTGGTGTTGACGTAGAGATGGCCTTTGACGATGAATTAGAGGGGTTGATCGTCTCTAAGAAGGGCAAATACGTGAAGCTCACGTCTGTGGTGGTTGATAAACTGAAACAGTTGATACTCAGGTCATCGGAGTGTGACAAGGTCATCGCTTCGCATCATTTACGCGCGGACAAATTCTTTGAAGAGTTCTTATGGCCAAATGTGTCCGGTAAGTGTACCGACAATACACTGTTCGTGGTGTGGGTTTGTGTTGTGTCTCGTGTGCAATCAGGAAAGAGGTTGCACTTTAACGGCGATGATCGTGCTAAAGTTGAAGAGTTTGTATTCAGATCAGTACAGGTCATCAAAAACGACCAGCAAGTGCTTGGGTTGAAAGTGTGGGCCATCAGGTTCATCAGGTCTTTGATGTCCTCACTGGATATCCCGGTCTTAAGGAAGGTGCTGGAACCTGTGTTTTCTATAGCATCATGGAGATCGCTAAAACATAAACCACTGGACAAATTCGACCTGCAAAGTTCATACGACACAATGAATGAGAAGCTGTCCAAGCTGACCAAGAGGCAAGCAATCATATATAATACCTTATCACTGTTTGTTCATGACTTGTGTTCTTCTCTAACATCTCTTGAAGCCGTTACCAAGGATAACGTTCGATTCTACAAAGAGATTGTGTCAACTCTCTCGTTGATACTTTCTCAATTACCAACAAGAAGGTTTTCCAAGACGATAATTGAACACTCAAACGCTTTACAGATCCTAAAGTATAGAAAATTTGACCTGGGGTATACGCTGGAGTTGTTTGAGTACTTTTTAAAATTCCCATTGGACGAATTCACAGGTGAAATGGAAACTCCAACAACTTTGAAGGCAAGATACGACGAACGCTCAACAACTGTTATCTCATACCTGTTTACCCATTTCAGTGACAAACTAGGAAGTGCGATTTTGGATTCTTCTGCTGCCATAGCACCAAATCTACAAAACATACTGCTCAAACTAGACCCAAGTGATATTGAACAAATGCTTATCCATCTGAAGCTCTCAACTACTTGTCCTGATTTCTCCGTTGATGCATTGTCATATTTAGTCTTGGAGTACCTTTCACCACCAGAGACTTCATCACAAACACTAAAGAAGTATGGTTACCTTCCGATGTATCAATCGTTAGTTCAATTATCCTCGATTTCTCCATTTGAACTGCCAAATCTCAACTCGCAGTTCTTGTCCCTGTCAGACGCTCTAGTAAGGACTTATATTGATGTCAGATTCGGGGCCTTCAACAATATTTCGAATCACATTGTTCGCACCGTTTCTCGTTTCAAAAAAACTGGAGTAGATGGTAAACTGACAGGGTCCAGTCGTCATGCCATAAAGTTGGGATCATATAGTGTGGAGTCTACGGTCCACTTTGATTCAAAGCTTGACTCGATTAAAAATACTAGAGTGACTTTACCGGTGGAACTGGGTAACTCTCAGGCTTCCCATGTTTCTGAATGGAATGACATTAAAACTGGAGATGTCATTTTGCTAGTCAAGCTCGGTGATAGATTACAAGGTAAAGGCTCCTTTGAGAAATGTGGAATCGAAAACGTTTGTTCTCTCCATGTTGAAAGTGTCGCAAACAAGAATGGTTCAAAGAAGCTGTCTTCCAATAGCAGGTCGTTCCTTATACATGCAATTGGTTCCCACGAGGAGAATTTCGAGAACATGAATCTTCTACTCAAGCTACCAGAGGCTTTAAAAGACTATTTTCAAAGTCTGAAGAACATTGAAACCATCGTGGATTATCCTGATTCCACTTTAGAACCATGGTTTGTGGAACAAATCTTAGGATATGGAGACCACAACGCTGGAAACTTCACCAAGCTGGATCACCGTTCCAAGTTGTCTCTGAAATCTATTCCATGTGATATCATTGAAGAAGCTCTAAAAGATTTTGAATTGGATTGGCAACATGATTCCAAGAAGAGACGTGTTGATGATGAGATTAAAAAGTCCTACGATGCTGAAATCATTGGGAAACAAGTAACGTTAAAAGAGGGCACGTATCAACCTTCGCTCAACTATACCCCAGCTCAACTGCGTGCTATAGTTTGCTCATCTTTAGATGGATTAACCATTGTTAGAGGGGCGGCTGGTTCAGGTAAGAGAAGCTTGGCTTCGCACATTATACTTTCCAATATTGTAAACCACTCCAACGAACGGATTCTTGTGGTTACTAAGAATGAAATCACTCTTGATGATTTAATGGATAAGGTTATCAAGTTAGGTGTTAAGGATGAATATGTCTTCAGTATGACAGACACAGCTAGTCAAGAGGAGAAAGTGAAAGCTTCCACACTTAGAATAACTGAACTACTTGGTAACGTTGGAGACTTGGCATCTCTATTGGATATTCACGGTGCACATGATAATGATCCCCTTTGCGCTACCAACTTTTGGAAGTATGAGCTTCAACCTCTTTGGGAATCATTCTTACACAAGTGTAAGAGCTGTGACTCTTCAGAAGCTTTGTTATCGTGTTATCCCTTCAAGAGGTTTGGTAAATTGAACATTGACGGATCTCAAGATTTCAATTCAACATTGAAAGCCATCCTAGGTCATTACTGCGAAATTGCAAACTTGTTCGAGGAGATTGAACGCCTCGGTCCGTTAAGTTTCCTCACCTCTAAAAAGTCAAAGGCTGAGTATCTATTGACGTTACAAGCGAAAGTGATTGGTGTCACTGCAAGCTTCCTTGAGGAGAATTTCACGTTGTTACAAGGCTATAACGTCCACTACAGCAGTATCTTATTTGCGGAAGCCTCACAGTTGAACATCCATGAATCTATTTTACCATTTCTTGTCGATTCCAAGGGAACACAGTCTAGAGTCATTATGATTGGCGATGAGCTTAACCTGGGGCCGTCTGTGCTCGACAGTGAGAGTGGTAAAGTCGTTGGACTGTCCACTAGTCTCTTTGAACAGCTGATAAACAAAGGCGCAGCTTCAATAACCCTGTCTTCCCCTGAAGGACCACTGGAAGTGGAGCACATCATTGTCGATGGCTCTACAGAAGAACCAGAAACAGGATTTTACCACAACCTCCAAGAGTGCAATGCGATCATAGACTACATCAGTACATCAAACGAAGACCTCACGGTGTTAACACCATTTGAAGGACAGAGGGCTCCACTACAAATGATGGTTGATGGAAAGTTCAACGGTAAATTCACCGTCCAAACTGTCGAGTCGTTTAGAGGATGTCGCTCCAACACCGTCATTGTCTCAATGGTTCGCACAGGAAACTACAGATTCGACGAGAAGCTCATCCACTCCATCTACCAATCAGCAATATCCAAGCTCGTCATTGTATGCTCACCAGCTTACAAAAGAGACTACGGGTTTGTCTTTGTATAGCATAAATCAGAGCTCCATCTATACAGTTACCCGGACATGTATTGTAGTTTGTATTTTTCGGTTTGCACCACACAACCGTCCCTCGAGTGAAAAATTCCAGGTTGGAAAAGTTGGTCGAAAACCTCTCCAGAAGACATCGAAACACGCTGTTGTAAAACAAAGCACCGTACAAAGAGCAGCATGTTGATGAACGGGTCTGTTTTGAAGGCGTTTGGCTCTGTACAGAGTGTGCGCTTCTTCAGTGCCTCCCCGGTATCGATGGTGAAGAAGTCGATTCTTAAGATTAGAGCTACAGAGAGAAAAGAGGTCAACTTATTGAGACAGAAGTACATCTCAGAGAAGAACTCCAACGTTGATCCTGTTCTTGGCCTTCCAAACAACCCATTCTTGAACAGAATTGATGCTGAATCTAAGGAGCCAAACGTGCTTGGTAGAAGCTACCAACTTCCTGAGTTGGAGAAGCTCCTGTATGGAGCACAAGAGGCATCTGTTAAGGATTCGTATGCCAGTGCCTCTGTTAGTGATTCCAGCTTGAGACAAAGAGAAGCTGTGCTTCGTATCTTGAGCATGAAGAACAGAGCAGACGCGGAAGTTCTGAAGTTCAAGATCGGCCTTGCAAAGAAGGAGTTTCAAAGATTTGAAGGTGATACTGGCTCCTCTGAAGTTCAAGCAGCAGTTGCGACTGTTAGAATCCATCATCTGTACCATCACTGTAAGGACAACAAGAAGGATCTTCAAAACGTGAGATTGTTGAGAATGATTGTACAAAAGAGACAAAAGATCTTGAGATATTTGAAGAGGGATAACCCGGAGAGATACTACTGGGCCATCAACAAACTGGGTTTGACCGATCATATTGTTCACATGGAGTTCAACATGGACAGAAGATACATGCAAAAGTTCAAGATGTATGGTGACCGTATCTTGATCAAGGAATCTAACAAGATCCAAGAAGAAGAGCGTAAGCAGAGACGTAAAGAGAAGAAGCTTTTGAAACACAAATCACTAAATGAGCTGAGAAGCATGAAGAGAGCTTTGTCAAAGCCTTGAAATATTTTTGAAAGCAAACCATCATCATCCTTGTAAATATCAACTCTGAAAATCTACATATTTCATATATAGAAGTTTTCTGCCTTTTCAATTGTAAACAAATCTGCATATGTAAATTTGGATTAGAGGAACCTTTTTATTGGACCACCAACGTGTTCGAGATCCAAAAGGAAGGTGTCATGACCGTACATACTGGTCTCTTCACTGAGTTCAACGTGATGGATATTAGAGCCATCACCTCCATGGAATTTTATGTTTCCCTTCTTCAAAACATCTGCAATTTCTTGCTGTTGCCAATGTGGGAACAATATATCGGACTTCACTCCAATAACTAGCACCTCCTTGCTTGCAATTGGACTCATACCTCTGAGAAGATCATCAGCCTCTTGTTCCTGTGTCTTTGTCCGTCTTTTTATACTCTCGACATCATTTGGTGCCTTGATACAAACTTCTGATGCAACAAACGAATCATAAACACCTTTGAGGTATTCGCTCTCTGTGGATGATCTCTTCTCTTTTGCAAGAGATCTGTTGCTGTGTCCCAAGTCAAACAAATCCATTGCCTTGGAGACGTACAATAACGAATTTGGATCGTATTCAAGTGAGAACTTGTTTCCCTGGTGGTCCAAATACGTCTCAACCAAGAAGTCAGGACATAGAGCAGGACCAGATGTTGGTTTGGCCCTTTCTCTTCCAAACCGAATTTCCCATTCTGGACCTGATCTATAAGTCACAGTTGCAATTTCCCTTGCAAGTTTCATGCCAACGTGTGGTGGCACGGAGTCGTAATAGTAGCCTCTCTTCCAATTTGGGTCAGACATGAGCACCTGTCTCTGTGTGTGACGCATTGCTATAGAGTAAGGATGCGATCTAGCACACCCTGAGATGGAAACCACACGGTTAACCCTGTCTGGGAACTCATGCGCATAGGCAAGCGATTGCATTCCACCCATTGAAGAGCCCACAGAGGCGTATAGGTTCATGACTCCAAATTCCTCACGCATTAGACGTTCCTGGGCCCTAACCATGTCTGATATACTGAGGATTGGGAAACTTGTAGCGTATCTTTCACCATTGGCAGGGTCAACGGACGAAGGACCGGTGGAACCGTAGCACCCGCCAACAACATTGGTACATACGACAAAGAATTTGTTTGTATCTAATGGCTTATCAGGCCCGATAAAGTCTTCCCACCAGCCTGGCTTTTCATTCTCAATCTGGGACTTTGCATGGGAAGAAGCTGAAAGACCTGTATGGAGCAAGATAGCGTTCGTCTTGTCATCATTCAAAGTTCCCCAATGTTCATAGGCTACTTCAAACTCTGGTAAATACCCACCGTAATCTAGAAACAAAGGCTCTGTGCTCTTAAACACTTTGAATCCCGACTGAACACGGGCATAAACTGGCTCTGGAAGCTCATTCGTCTTTATATCGGTATCATCAAAGGGATTGTGTTGGTTTGAGAGCAGATCGGTCTTCTCCTGGAGTTTGTCCAAACAAGGGAATGACATTGCTGGGTTCGAAGGTGCTGTATTGGCCACATTTGTTGTACGAGAAGGGCCAACGACAGCTCTCTTCGAGGAAGACTTGGAGATAAGCCTTGCTTGATTTGTAATCTTCAAGAGAGAGCTCTTTGTAGCTTGTCTTGTTGAGTGTCTGAGAAGCATTTGTGCAATGAATATGGGAGAGATGAGATGAGTAGAGAGCAGCACAAGTGGAATCAAATCACAATAACAACTTTAGCCACAGGGAGGTTAAAAGAGGAGAAGAAGGAGTCCTTTCCAATTGTGGCTAGTGCAGAAGAGAAAATTTGCTTGCTACAATCGTGGTGTGTATGCAAACCCGTTGTAAAGGTGGTGTCTTTGTATATGTAGGGTGTGTGGCTTCGTCTCGAGAAAGCACATAAGCTGTGGCGCACTTTCTCGGGTAAGTGATTTAATTGCACGTGATCTCAATTTCTTTTTTTGAAGCCACTAAAGCTTACGTAAGCGACCACGGATCTGGTGTTGGGATGTTTTGGTTTTGGGAGGGGCAGGGGGTTTACATGTTGGCTTTATCGATTGCGGCGCTTTGTGTTTGGGGGTGTATGCCCTAGCGACCCTGTGGGCCACTGCCCAGGTGCCCAGGTGCGACCAGGAAAAAAATTTCTTCATCGCTAGAGCTTTCTTCAACCCCCTTTCTTTCCTAATTCTTTTCAACTAACAACAAATAAACACAGTAACAAGATGTCATCTGACCTTTCAGACGTTAGACTCTTTGTCAGACCACTTCCATTCGATGTTAACGAAGAGGACTTGAAGAGCTTCTTCTCCCCTATTGGTGAAATCACCGATTTCATCGTTGCTAGAGGTTATGCCTTTGTTGAATACGCTAATGCAGATTTGGCAAGACAAGCCATCGCTGAATTGCACCAAAAGCCGTTCGGTGATGTTCCATTATCCTTGGAGTACGCTAAGGCTCAAAAGCCAAGATTCAGACTTCTTGTTTCTAACATGCCAGAAGGTGCTGAGTGGCAAGATCTGAAAGATTTTGCTCTCCAAAAGGGATTCGAAGTTACCTACGCCAACGTTTTCCAAAGAGAGAACAACGGTACCGGTGTTTTGGACCTTGCTACTGAAGAGGAGTTGAACAAGGCACTTGAGGAGTTGAACGGTCTCGATTTCAAAGGTAACCCAATTGTTCTTGAGAAGGATCCAAACCCTCCACCATTGAGAGGAGGTGGTGCTCGTCGTGGCGGTTTCAGAGGTGGCCGTGGTGGCTTCAGAGGTGGCCGTGGTGGTTTCAGAGGTGGTCGTGGTGGCTACGGTGATAGATATGGTGACCGTGACAGAGGTTTCGACCGTGACAGAGGCTTCAGAGGTGGTCGTGATTACGACGACCGTGACAGAGGTTACAGAGGAGGCCGTGATTATGAAGACCGTGACAGAGGCTACAGATCAAGAGATGATTACGATGACAGACGTAGAGACAGATCACCAGTCAGATACTAAACGTGCTTCTTTGTCTTTTCTATGTTTTTTTTTGTTCACATTAATCTTTTGTGTTCTTCTTGCTAACAACTTTTAGGAATTGGATATTATTTGATTCGACTGTGGTGGTTGAAACTGTGTGTTTCTCTGTGTGTTTTATTTTCATGACTCGATTGTTCAGGATGAATTGTGAGAGCGCCGATATGTACTTTTAGCCCGTGTTTTTTTGTCTTTCTTTATTTTATAGTGATTTGAGCGAAGTGGTTAACAATCCTCCCCCAATTCATAAAGTCATCTACAGAACTCATGGAGATCTCACTAGTGGCAATTCCATTCCTTTTTATCCCCTCCGTCCCTATAGATTGTATTGACGTTTCATCGATGGTTAACTCGAGCAAAGTGGCATCCAAAGATATTTAGTCCTTACAGAGGGTATGTTCCAATGGAGAAACCCACCTCGCCAATGTGGCTGTGCGGTTTAAGTATATAGTTTATGTATATAGTTTGTGTTCATGGCAATGGAGAGTGGCATCTAATGACACCATCTAACCATGCAACGATGTCTGATGACATGCTTTGAGGGAGATTCTCAAAACAACAGCCAATTCAATGGTCTAGATTGAACGACACGGTTTCCATGTCACAATAGACGATCGCTCACAAGCCTACCAGTGGTGTGGCTATACTGTAGGCACGTCTAGTGCTAATGCGCTCGATAGAACGATGGTGCTAAATATAGAGTTGCCGTTGATCTGACATCAGATAAGCGATCTAACAAAATTGTATCCTGATTGATGGCAATGACTACCTTACTACGAAACTCCTAAACCTATGCGAATGACAAGTGGTCTCGTCGACGATGACCACTGGTCATTGGCCCAAACGTTGATCGACCACGGCGAACGTTTAGACCGCATAGACCTCTTACCGCAAAATCTGTGCATCTCGGGAAGTCAAAACTCTGAGGCAGGCCGTTCATAGGCAGAATTTGGTGTCAAAACATCAATATCTACACCATGAACTGCGCAACTTGATGGAGCACCTCTCCGACAAATTCCAACACCAGTCAGTAGGCCCACACTCACACAACACAACATATACCACACTAAACAAGAGCCCTATTCACTGCCAATTCACTCAGCTTCTGCCTAACACACCATCAACCTCCGGAAATAAGTTGCAGCAGCAGGCTTTTCTGCGTCCCGCTGTGTTTCCTGTGAAAGGCAGAAGGGGGAAATTTTCTGAAGTTACACCAGAGGGAGAAAAAAAGTTCATGAAAACGTCCGCAACCCCTAAAATTCCACCAAATACGCCATTTCCAGCAGGGTTCTTATTCCAAAGAGCAAACAACTCAGAGCCAATTTTCAAGGAGAAAAGCAGAGCGAGAGAAGACGAGGAACAATGGGTAACTCTTCTTCAAAACAAAAGGACTCTTTGAAGTCCTATCCGTCGTTTTCAAGGTCTGATACGCAGAACTCTACCAAATCGAGCCGTTCATTACGTTCACGGAGGTCGCTGACTCGCGACTCTGACGCCTCCAGCTTCAAGACAGCGGCGGACTCACCGTCAATGGTTCCACATACTCCACATACAAGTCGTAAGAACTCGTCCAACAATGTTGTCGCTTCGTCTGTGAGTGCAGGCAACAACAACGTTGCCTCCGGGGGTGGAGAAGTTCCTACGTTGAACGTGTCGGGCCCTGATGCAGCAATGTCATTACCACCATCGATGGTTCAAGTGGAACCGAAACAGCCCATCTTGAGAAACAACAGTGATGCCCAGGAGGACCTCGCACAGCTCAGATCAGACAACCAGAGAAGGGATTCGCTGCACAGCTCAGCTCATTTGAGCAACAATGGCGGGAGTACTGAAATCGAGAAGCATCAACAGCGGCAGCAGCTGCAGCAGCAGCAGGATCAACAACAAATACACCAACAGCAACTACAACTACTTCAGCAACAGCAACAGCAACAACAGCAGAAACTTGAACAACAAGATGAACAACACGACCCACAACAGATACAACAACAGCAACTCCTACTGCAACAACAGATACTACAACAACAACAGCAGTTGGAGCAACTGCAATTGCTACAGAAGCAACAACAGGAGAAACTACAACAGCAGCAAGCACAGCAGGATGAACAGAAGCAGGCACAACAAGACCAACAACAACAGAATCAGCAACATCTGCAAACACAACAACAGGTGTCATCTCTTGAAACACCAACGCCGAAGAAGTCAAGCTTTTCTAGTCAATTTCAAAGCCCAAGTTCCTATACAAACACAACGGTTCAAGGAGTAGACATTGAAGAATTGATACAGAGATTGTTAGATGCGGGCTATGCAGGAAAGAGAACAAAGAGTGTATGTTTAAAGAATAGTGAGATTGCTATGGTTTGCGCAAAGGCGAGAGAGATCTTCTTATCACAGCCAACATTGTTGGAGTTGAGCCCGCCTGTGAAGATTGTCGGTGACGTCCATGGGCAGTTTGGTGATTTGATTAGAATGTTTACCAAATGTGGATTTCCTCCAGCAGCAAACTATCTGTTCTTGGGTGACTACGTTGATCGAGGCAAGCAATCACTTGAGACTATTCTACTTTTACTATGCTACAAGATCAAATACCCTGAAAACTTCTTCCTCTTGCGTGGGAACCATGAATGTGCAAGTGTCACTAGGGTTTATGGATTTTATGACGAGTGCAAACGTCGTTGTAATATTAAGACTTGGAAATTGTTCATCGATACATTTAACACTTTACCACTAACAGCAATAGTTGCAGGAAAGATCTTCTGTGTCCATGGTGGGTTATCACCGGTCTTAAACTCAATGGATGAAATTCGTAACGTTAATAGACCAACTGACGTTCCAGATTTCGGATTGATCAATGATTTACTATGGTCCGATCCTTCGGATGCGATTAACGAGTGGGAGGATAACGAAAGAGGTGTTTCATACTGTTTCAACAAAGTTGCAATTAACAAATTTCTTACAAGATTTGGCTTTGATCTGGTTTGCAGAGCTCATATGGTTGTTGAAGATGGGTACGAATTCTTCAATGGTCAAAGTCTTGTGACCGTTTTCAGTGCACCAAACTACTGCGGTGAATTCGACAATTGGGGTGCAGTTATGTGTGTTAGTGAAGAATTGTTATGCAGCTTTGAACTCTTAGACCCATTGGACTCCGTTGCCTTGAAACAGTTCATGAAGAAGGGCAAACACGAAAGACGCTTAGCAAACTTGGCTACCCAACAGGCTAATGCCGGAGGAAGCAACCATGGAAGTTTCAGTACAGTTGTGGGAACCCCTACACTGTCAAATATATCATCATGAAACGTATGTGCTGCCCTTGTTTTTCTTGGCCTACGATCTTCGTGGTTTCATTATGTTGGGTTTAGATCAATACGGGTGTAATCCAAATTGGGGCTTCATTTTATCCCGTTCTTATATATACATACAACCCCATATCTGATCCCAGTTCAATGATTGCTTGAAGCCAACTGGTTAAGAACTGCTCATCAGCAATCACAGCAACATACAGCCAAACAAAGAATACCAAACAAAAACAGCAAAAAGCACCAAAAAGAAGGAAAAGAAACGGCATAATATCACTTCCATGGCAAACATATTCTACTACGAACACAGCTGAACCAGCTCGTATAAAAAGTGTTTAAGACTAACACTGTGGTTTTATGTCCCTTCTCTCCTCTTCCCTTCACACTCCAAGATTTATCATTTTTTTACGTCTCCAGTTAATGAACTTCCTTTTATATAACCCTCCAACGTGTACCACTAGTCCATAAAGTCTTTCAATGGCTCTCATTGGATCACCAACCTGCCTACGTTACACTGAAAGTTATACAGACGGCGATGCATCTCCGATGTCCTCCTACGTTGAGCCTCAGATTCTTCGGTACAGCCAACATCGGAATTGGCGGTGAATTCCAAGTTGAATCTGTCAATTTTGTCTCTTTACTGGTTGAAATGTCGACGTATCGTCAATAGAAAGAAGCAGCTCATCAATGGCACGCTCTAGACGATCCTCTTTGCGGTTACAGCCGTCGCTGTCCACGTCATCCTTGATTGAGATGTCGCAAAGGGAGTGTCTAACGAAGCCGTTGATCGAGTACGAAGACATCCTTCCCAACATGATGATGAATGAGTCCAGCTTGAAGTTGACAGATCTGCTGGCAAGAGAGAGCGATGTTACTGTGTCCAATCAGATCAGCTCGCTGATTGAATATCGTGGATTTGCGTGGCATTTACTCGTCACGGCGATCCACACGTTGTGGCTGCTGTGGACTTTCCTCCCGGAGAATTGGCTACACTATATCGGCGTCCACTACTATCCCAGTAGGTGGTGGAGTTTGGCCGTCAGCAACTACATCCTTATACTGTTCCTCTACTCGTACATTGCACTCCAATTCTGGAACGTTGAGGTGGAAGCCATTCCAAGAGACGACCTCCGCGCCATCTGTGACGGCGATCAGGTCGTCGAGAAGGACATCGTCAAGTATGGCTGGAAGGACACCAACGGAGTGTTTGACCTGAGGATCTCGGACGTTAACGAAGTTCTCTACGACTGAACCACGTTACACGGCTCATCAGACTCGACACCAAACTGGAAACAGGTCAAAAGTCAAGCTAAACGAACAAGGCATCTCACCCCCGGTGAAGAAAAGGTCACGTGCACTGTGATGGTCGGAGCTCAGCTTTCTGTGGCTGTTTTATCTTCCGCGCGCGCGCGCGCTGACAGCGGAAAATGGGAAAAAGAAACGCCACACTTTGTCTAATTTTTCCTCTGTTTTTTTCCTCGTTCTCTTCACCTTAACGTTTTCTCTAAAGATAAGCAAACCATTCGTTCATTTTTTTGTTTTTGACAGGTTATACCGAGCTTTGAGCTATTGTTTATTCAGTGCACAGTGTTTTGTCCATTTGTTCTGCCCATTGGTTTTGTTGTGTGCTGTTCAGTTTTGTTGTGTCCTTGAATTCATCTCTGATTAGCATACAGCGAGAGCGTTTTGTTGATCATCGCCTTCTCACATACACTGCACATCCACGTTCTTTCCAGACTCTTCTAGTCGGTACCCCCTCTCTTCGTCAGATAGACGGGAAAAATGGAAGTAACATCACGAAGAAAAAGATGGTCGTTGGGACTGCTTATGCTGGCCATAGTGGTTCTCTCATGGGTTCTGTCGTCGTTTCTGATCAATTCTATCTTTGAAAATGACCTCTATCGAAAGCCATTCTTCATCACTTACATCAACACGGCGACGTTCATGTTTTACCTCGTGCCCTACGTCAAGAACTGTATCCAACAGTATTTGGAACATGGCGAAATAAGGTACAAGGAGGTGGAGGACGAATTCCTACACAACTCCGATGACGAAGAAATCTCGCTTACCTCGCCAGACCAGATTGACAAGTTGAGTCTTGTGGAAACTGTTAGACTGAGTGCAGAGTTCTGTGTCGTTTGGTATCTGGCAAACTTGGCAACAAATGCGTCGTTAAGCTATACGAGCGTTGGCAGTCAAACGATATTGTCCTCAACAGCCTCATTCTTTACGCTACTCGTTGGCTGGTTTGCAAACACTGAGAAGTTCAACCAGGTGAAGGTTGGTGCACTTTTACTGAGTTTCCTGGGTGTTGTTCTCGTGACAAAGGCCGATAGCGAACAGATTAGCCATGAGGTGAAACGCACAGCGTTGTCAATATTCATTGGTAACGCGTTGGCACTCCTGGGTGCCCTACTGTATGGAATCTACACCACGATGCTCAAGTATCGTATTAAAGATGAATCTAGAATCAACATGAAAGTGTTCTTTGGCTTTGTTGGTGTGTTTAACATCATCTTGTTGTGGCCATCACTGGTAATACTCCACTATACAGGGGTGGAGAAGTTTGAACTACCAAGAGGTTCCTTTGTCATTGGTGTGATTCTGACAAACTGTCTGATCACTTTTGTATCGGACTTTTGCTGGGTAAAGGCGATGCTCTTAACATCACCTTTAACAGTGACTGTTGGTTTATCAACAACTATCCCATTTGCTATGATTGGTGATATCATTTTCAAAAATGAAAAGATCACAATAACTTATCTCATTGCAGCAGCGATGATTTGCGTATCGTTCTTCATCATCAATAGGGATGCTGAGAACGACCGTCATATAGAGTGACGTTACGATGAACTTTCACATATCAACACACTTATAGTACATTTGCATTTCCTTTCTTCTGTTTCATTGCATGTTTATGTGTTTTTTGCTTGTTTTTTTTCTTCATTATATCTATAAACTGTCTCCAATTACATGATAATAAATATTTTTAAACGTCCTTTAAGGCAATTCTGGTCATCAATGAATAAAGATATCCTGAAGCATGAGTACCCCATAACGTCAGCGTCCCTTTCAAAGCCAAGATGCAACTTGGTATGGGTAAGAAGGGTCTTTGATCTTGTAGATAGATGTCAATCTATTGAAGAGCCAAAAAACGAAGAAGCAAGCGCATAACGTCAATGTGTTTCTCTTTGCTGGATTGTCAATCTTTGGAATTACCACAACCAATCCATTGATCAGAAATACAAATCCCAGATAGATACCTCCAATGATAAACACCTCAGATCCAAATTGCCAATGTGTACCACCACTGAAGTACATGATTTCACCCTTTTCATTCTTAGAAAGCAAGGGTATATTACGAATAACGGTAAACATATAACCAGACGTAAAAACCACAATTGTCAAGATCGAAATCAAACAGAATATTAATCTCGAAGCCAACTTACTCAGCACCTTCTTCTTCAGCACTAAAACAGCGAAAAACGTTGTAAAGAAATACTTCGAGAATTGAGTCAGGTCAAAATCTTCATGGACAACGATGTTTGCATTCACCAATTTGGAGACAAAGTTTGCATAGTGCAATGGATCCTTTGATGAATGATCGCCAATCTTGTACTCAAAGTGAGGGCTTGTGACGTTATAAGCCAGCTCGGTGCTTGGAGGGTAAATCCAGAGATGAGGTACTTGGAGCATCTGGAGATCGATAAACTTCTTTTGGTTGTTTGAGAAATCGGCCTTGAAGAACAAGATGTCATTCTTACCAGGGTTTGAGTCTTGATAACTTCTCGCAATCTTGTGATACACAGGTTCAAATTTCTTACAAGGAGCACACCCCACAGAGTCATCCAAGGCGGTAAACAGCAATGCTGTGTAGTAGTCACGAGGTCCTGTAAGTATGGAGTCGAAGTTCGACTCATTAATCTCTATAACGTTCGAGGGTAACTTCGATGTTGCCAGTTCATCTGCGGTTAACGATGAAAGAGCCCCGGTCAAAAGGGATAAACCCGTTGCCCACGATGATAGTTTCATGTCTCTCTATCTGTCGTCTTTCCTCAACGTTACTTGGGGCCTTACGATAAGATCAAACAAATGATTGGAACTATTCTTTGAAAACGCAATGTTGGACAACAAAGGAGGTTTAGACCACGCGTCGGTTATCTAGATGAGTTGGTGTAGGGATGTGTGGTGTAGGGATGTTTCTTTGTTTACTTTTTCCGTTTTGTTTACTTTTTTTCTGTTTTATTCATTGGAAAGATCTCAAACTCGTTCAGGTTAACCAAGTGAGAATACAAAGAAGTCTATCATGACTCTTTGTTCCTTATTCCAAGATTATGATCGCTCCAAAGATGCTTTGAATGAAGTTTTTCTGAAGGAAACTTCGCGTCGTTCTTTGATCCATGAAGCAACTCTTCTCAAAACGATATTGGAACAACAGATGTACGTTGAGATGAACAACTCAAAGGACTCACACGTTCAATCGTCTTTGAAACAGGACTTGTCAAAGGTCCAAGGCGAGAAGAGGTCCTTGGATAGGAAAATTTCCTTGCTCCAAACTGAGATTCAAAATTTGAAAGAGAGAGCACTGAGTAACGCTCAACTCCAACGGGAAAACATCTCTTTGAAGAATCAAGTCAAGAAGTTGACGTCTCAGTTGGATGAATCAAAGAGTGAGATTGGTAAGGCTTCGAAACAATTTGCCACCCAAAGAGCGGTGTTGGAGTCCAAATTGGACAACGCGAAAAAGAACATCAAGACTTTAAAGGACAGGACCTCCCCTGTAAAACCTTTGACTGGTTCGATCCTATCCCCGCAAAAGACTAGCAGCAACGAAAGAATAAACGTGTTGAAAAAGCCACATCTTAATTCAAACTTTTCTGTTTCTCCATTCCTCAGAAATAGACAGTCCAAACAGGATCTTGGTTCTTCGACTCCTGTTCAAGACAACAGAAACAACATCAAGACCAAGATCTTTGCACAGTCCACGCCCAATGGGAACGTCTTCGCTTCACCTCTGAAGGATGCAAAGCCTAGAAGATCGAGTGGGTTGAAGAACTTGGTTCGTCCCACGAATTCTTTAAAAGCTGCACTGGACAACCCAGATAAGAAGAACAAACCTAGTCTATTCGACGATGACGATGAAGACGATGATGGTGACATCTTCGGGAACAGTGTGCTGAAGAAAGCTGAAAAGAAGGATCACGATGACGATACGACAGAGAAGAAAACTCAACCAGATATCAAGAAGAAGAAGAGGAAGATTGGCTCCACCACCATAGTTGAGGAAACTGAAATCGACGAGGATGAAAAATCTATCCCGTTGAAAAGAGTTAAACTAATTGATAAGCTCGGTGGTATGTCGCCTCTGAAACAGAGAAACAAGGAAAGATCGTTATTTAAAGTGTAAAATAACTGTAATATACCAAAATGTGAAATACGACTGTTCTATTTGCTGTTGTGTATTACGTAAGTATGTTTTCCATGTGTGCGCGTACGTCCTCTTCCTTCTCTCGCTCCGGCCGGCACAGCTGTGCTAAAGTTGAAACGGTGGAAGAGAACCACTACGAGCCATTGTACGTGTGATTTAAACGTAATGGAGTCAAAGACTGTGAGATCGACTGATTTCGATGCCCTTTCTTGTCGATTGAGTGCACTGAACAAGAAATATTTGGTGAATGATGACCATTTGATGGAGTACATCGTTGCCCTTGAACAGGCATTGAAATTTGAGTACAGGTTAAGTTCACGTCGAGTATTCAATGGCATTGTCAGATCAAATAAGCTGCCCATAATCAACAGGGGTACTTATATCCGTACAAAATCCATTGATATAGTTATTGAGAAGTTCCTTGGCCAGTTCAAAGGACAGAAAGTAAGGATTCTAAGCTTGGGATCGGGAAGTGATACAAGGCCATTTAAGCTGTTACCTGGTCATGCTGGGACTTTAGAGTACGTCGAGTTGGACTTCCCAAACAGTTGCAAGTTGAAGCATGCGGTGATAAGTCTTTCGAAGCAACTATGTGATATCGTTGGTGTTGAGCATGTGACGGATGATGGTAGCTCACAAGATTGGTACGACTCACTTGGAGATCTTGACACGGAGCAGTATAAATTGATTGGAGTTGATCTTAGGCAGATTGATCAGCTCCAGGTACTGTTGTCGAAGCTGGACCCTAAGGTTCCAACTCTGGTAATCTCTGAGGCCATGCTGTGCTATGTCGAGACTTCAACGTCTAGCCAGGTTCTTAAAACCTTGAGGGACAGCTTCCCAGTTGGCTGTATAACGGTATACGATCCTATTGGTGGTGAAGGATCATTTGGTGATGTTATGGTGGAAAACTTGAAGCTTCGTAATTTGACCATGCCTTCGTTGTTGGAGTTCAATACATTATCCAAATATCACCAACGGTTGGTCAATCTGGGATTTGGCCACGTTGCCATCGATAATATGTATAATATTTATGAGAATTGGACAGAAGTTGAGGAGAAGCAACGTATATCCAGGCTGGAATTCCTAGATGAGATTGAAGAGTTGAAACTGTTATTGGAGCACTATTGCCTTGCCATTGGATGGTGGGGGTTTGATTGGAATCAGTTTGAATTGAAAATGGGTATACAATCATAATGCATCACAGCTTTTATTAACAGTCACTGGTTTCTCATTAAAGGCTATCTAAACATTAAACCATCTCTTTCGCCCTGGTGTCTCCATTGCGAATTTGGTATCGAATCATTTTCAATTTGGTATAACCTCCAAGCCTCTCTTATGTGCTCTGGTTGTAAAGGTCCGTCCATCTGTACTTTCCTCAGATCCAGCTTCTTCAACTCTTGCTTTATCGTATTGATCTTGTCTTGTACATCCTTGTTCTCCTCTTCATCATTCAGTAGGCTATTCTGCTTGTGTAGCTCATCCAACAGCTCCCTCTTTTCGTTAAGTTTAATCAACAGAGCAGCTTTATCCATTCTTAACTTAACCTCACGTGCTTTCTCCACAATCTCACCAATGAACAGCTTGCCAACACCACCGAGTATAATGGCAACGTTTGGTGAAACACTCTGGTTGAGCACGGAATATGCCAGCTTCCTCAAATGCCCTCTCGTCAACGAGGATCTCTTTAAAAACTCGTACCGTGACATCTGATCCGGTGAGAGATGGTCCATCAGCAGCCTGGTACGCTCCTCCTTGTCCAGCTCTTCCTCTGGCTCTTGTTGTTCCAACGGACCCCCATCGTCGTTTATCGAAACCTTTGTTGTTTGGTCAATATTGCCAAAGATCAGACTGAGCAGCTGCTCCGCTTCTTCCTCTATTATCTCGCTGAAGTCGCTGTCGTTCTCAGACTCGTCCATAGGGACATCTGAAAGGTCCAGGTCGTCTTCTTCTGGCATCATTCGTTGCAGACTGTGGTGATAGTTTGTTTGTATTCATACACAGTGGACTTTACGCTTTGTTTATGAGAGGTTGTCTATTAGTCACGTGACATACAGTATAAAGTTCATAAAAAGTACCGGAATGCGGAACTTCCGGTAGTGGTGTTTGGATGTTCCATGAAGGTGTATAAATCACGTACAACTACAATGAGCAATGGGCTCTTGAAGGTATGGAACGATACGGTTGTGCCTAGGCTGCGGGTCTCTGGATAACTGCGTACCAATTGTCTCTTTCGTATCCGTGTCTTATAACGATTCCACCAGCATCTGCCGCGTTTGACTCCAATTCACCCTTTTTGTAAAGGTGGTAATAGCGGTACTTCGTCTCAGGCTCTTTAGACTCCTCTTTAGACTCCTCTTTAGGCTCCTCTTTAGGCTCCTCTTTAGGCTCCTCGTTACTACCTGATGCAATCCTCTTCTTCTTCTGCTTCGGCTTCTTTGGTTGCTTCTTTTGCAAAACCCATGGAACCAGCACGTCCTGGGGATCGCCTTCTTTATAACCTCTTCTAGAATTCTCCTGTTCTAAAGCCCACACGTAGATCAGTGCTTCTCCGCCCGGTTTCAGCTTACTCAGGATGTGTCGAATAGCATCTGTTCTCCTCTGCGGCGTGGAGAAGTGATGGATAACAGCTATGGAGATGGCAAAGTCAAACCGGCCCTCTGGATGCGGTAGCGACAGCCCATCCGCAACCATAACCTCATGTCCAAACTCCCTCGCACACCCAATCAGGCCATCAGATCGGTCAGATCCAACTATGTACACGTCCTTGTTGACACCGAGGTATTTACCGTTACCACATCCAACGTCGATCCCCACGGTGCCCACTGCACGCTGTAAGAGGAACTCCTCCACAATGGGCCATGGCTTGTACCTCGTTTGCGAGAAGTGCGATGCAATCTCGTTGTACACAGTATGCACGTAAACCTGCTCCTGGCTCTGTGGATCTAAAGTCTCATCCATGGTGCTGTTCTCTTCAGTCCTAGGCTGCCCTCCTCAACCGTACGCTCTGCCTGCGTAGATGCTCCTAGGCTCATCTCCCTGCCAAAGAAAAAACTTTTCCCTCCGCCTAGGGGCTCCCCTCCCTCATCGCACACCGCTGGCGTTTTTCTGCCCCCGGCCGGGCAAAGCTCTCGAGAACAACAACATCAAAACGAGCTCCAGCAAAGGCAACAGAGCGTGCTAGCAAACTCAGAATCGACTGCCATGGCCAGCGAACAAGTCACCAGGATCCTCGAGTCGGAGTCGTTGAAGTCGCTTACGCTCCGGAGATGGGTCATATGCTCCATTGTGGCTCTGTACGTGTTTGTAGGCGTTCCTCTATGGTTCAAGCTTACAGAGATCTACAGGGCACCACTGCCGTCCAACTTCATCAACCTTCTCCACAGCCAGGGGAACATAGACATCCGGATCACCAACGAGGTGTATCTGGACGTGCTGGACGGATTGAAGTTCCCTGATTTGGCAGAGGCGATCCAGGTTCAGATCAACCACAGGCTGGAACAGGAGAGGGTGCAGTCGCCAATGAGCGTGCTGTGGAACGCGTCGGTGTTACAAACCAGTGAAGAGGTGCCATCAGATGCGTACGTGCTACACCTGGAGCTTGCTGACAACGAGGGCATATCGTTGGACGAGACTCAGAAGCATGCGACTCTGTTCTACACAATGGAGAGCGTGAAGAATAACGATCTGCCGTTCTTTGCTACGCAGGCAATACTGGACCATATCTTCGCCACTGAAAGACGACTGCTGACGCCGCATAAGCACGGTATCAACTCGCTGAGATACTCGCCAAAGGTCCACCTTTCGTTTAAGCTCTTAACAGGCGACGGTTATCCACTGGACTGGGAGATTGCGCAGGCCATTGACGAATACTTCACGCCGTTGATCCAAGAGTTCAAGACCTTTATCAATTTCACCATTGATTCAGAGATCAAGTACTTTGCACAGCTGAACCTGCCTGAAGGTGACGAGCTGACACTCACGGATGCGTCCCTTTCTACGGTTATGGACTTTGCAGAGTGGGATATCTCCTCGAATCAGTTCTCCTACCCAACATTGAACTTTGTGCTTTATTACCCTTCAGTGGAGCAGTCGCCACTAGCGTTCCACGATAATACCATTGGCTCGTTACACTCCTACCTGATCCCACAATGGGGGTCCGTGGTGCTCATGGAGAACTCCATAGATGCAAACACAGTCATTTCCAAGCAGAGCTTGGGCCCATTGTTGGAGGTATTCACCTCTGAGTTATTCAAACTGCTGGGGATCCCAACTGATCCAAAGACCCCACAGATAAGAGTCGATGCCATGAAGAAGTACTCGATCCTCGAGAACATTGACCGTGGAGTTGATTCGCTTGTGTCGTTGCTCAAGTTGAGTGAATCTTTACCTGACATGTCGATCCCTAAGACGGTGTTGGACAACGTCAAGATGGCACTGAGCTCCCGGCAGTCTGCAGTGGATAAGTTGAACCTCCAAAACGATTTCAACGGGGCACTTGTTGACTCAATCTCGATGGTTGAGCATAGCGAGAGAGCATTCTTCGATAGAGAAATGGTGCAACAGACGTTCTTCCCTCAGGAGCACAAGATTGCTGTGTACATGCCACTAATTGGACCAATGACCTTGATCTGTGTCCTGGCTTTGCTAAGAACGCTCAAAGAGGTGAGACTCTACAACAAAAAGTACTATGAATAAGGGCCCTTCCCCTTCCATCGCATAGGTATCGGAGAGTATATAACAGCCCTGTCTGCGCTTTCTTTAGCTGAATACACGTCCCACACCACGGCACACAGGGCATAGATCCTCATCTATAAGCATCACGGAGACCCTCCCCGTGCCACGACACCTTCCACACAGGTATCCTCCTATCGACGGGTCTCCCGGCCTCACATACCTTGGTGCCACCGGCTGTTGCATCACGGGCTGTTGCACCATCGGTACGTACTGGGGCCCATACCCATTGGTCACCGTGAAGTCATCGTGCACCCTATAGTTCGTAAACGGAATCCTCATCCCAGGGTCCACGTATCCCGTCGTATTGATAACACTCGGTTGATGTGCAAACCTCTCCCAGCACTTCTTACACGACTTGCCATTCTTCACTTTATAGCCTGTGTTGTGGCACTTCACACACCAGTACCCCTCGGGATACGTCCAGGGAAGCTTGGGCCCTGAGGGTCTCGGTGGCCGTTGCTGTTGCTGTTGCTGTTGCTGCTGTGTGCCATAAGATGAACTCGCTTGATAAGGCTCGGCTGGAGGTCTTGCCGGTGGTCTTGCTGGCGGCCTACTCGACGGCGACGAGTACCCGCTGCTTGCACCATCTTCAAGCGAATATGGTGGTGGCGGATCTAGAGGCTCGTTCTTGTAACCCGGCTGCTGTTTGCCCATTATTTGGTTCCTTGTAGGCTGTTTCCTGTGCGCTGGTGATGTTGGTGGCACGGTTAAAGGTGTAAAAGTACCCGGGGCTTTTTCACGCTTTCTCCTTCTACACGCCCACTAGGATTTATCCAATACACGCAATAACGGCGCTCTTGGCCCAGAATCGTTGCTATAAACACATCACATCACGGCCTAATCTACGCGACTGGGAGCTTCACGCCATGTCATTGTTACTGCTGAACATCCCGCGTGCTCTGGGAAGGCGTTGTGTATCGCCAAAGAGGTTCAATTCATCGCTGGTTCCAAAGAAGAACGAGTTACAGGAGCTCATCACAAAGGTGATTGGCTTCACGGGCCCGTTGCCCCTGTCACAGTTCATGAGACAGTGTCTGACACATCCAACGCTGGGGTACTATACGTCCAGAGACCCCTTGGGGGCGCAAGGTGACTTTGTCACGTCGCCAGAGATCTCGCAGATGTTTGGTGAGCTCATCGGAGTATGGTTCTACTCGGTCTGGAATCAGCAGAGGTGCCCTTCGAACGTCAACATGGTTGAGTTTGGGCCAGGAAGAGGAACGCTGATGTATGACGTTATGAGCAGCTTCACCAAGCTCGTGAAGAGAAGACACGGCGATGATTCCCTGAGCTTGAACCTGATTATGGTTGAGGCATCACATGTCCTTAGACAGAAGCAGGCGTCGATACTGGGGGACTCTGACGTGGATGCCACTGGTGAGTACTGGAAGGGTAAGTCCAGATTCGGGCTGAACAACTCTATCACGTGGGTTGATACGGAGAGGGATGTCTATGAGGTTATAGACATGAAGAGAGATACAAACTTCATCATTGCCCATGAGTTTTTCGATGCGTTGCCTATAAATCAGTACCAGAAGACGGAGGAAGGCTGGCGAGAGATCCTCGTGGACGTACACCCGGATACAAAGGAATTTGTTTTGGTGAAACAGGCTAAGCACACGTCTGCCTGTGCTATTCCAGAGTCTCAGGAACGTTATAACAACGTTAGCTTGAACACCACCGTGGAGATATCGCCAGAGTCCTATCAATACTCTAAGGTCATTGCAGACCTCATCTCGATAAATTCACGGGGAACAGGGGCTGCTCTGATTGTAGACTATGGCACTTTGAACGAGGTTCCTGAGAATACGCTAAGAGGTATTAAGGATCACAAGTTCACAAGTCCTTTCAAGGATCTTGGTGAGGTTGATCTCTCCGTGGATGTTGACTTTCAAGCAATTGCCCATGCTGCAAGGGACTCTCATGAGGTGGAAATCCTAGGTCCTATTGAACAAGGTGATTTCCTACATAACATGGGCATCACACATCGTGTGAAGCAGCTCTGCAAAAGAGCCCATGATGAAGCTACAGAGCACAACATTGAAAAGGCTTACCATAGATTAGTAGATAAGGATTCAGAGGGCATGGGTAAGATCTATAAGTTTATGGGGATTTTACCAAAGGGTTATACCACATCAATGGGATTCAATCAATGAGACTCTCCCCGTTCCACCATACTCCAGCAGTGCAATCAGGTTTCTACGAGCCACAGTTCACCTATTTATTCAATAAATTCATGTACATAAGTTACCGTTATTGACCACATCCATTGTTATCACCCAATATGGTAAGAAGTGGTATACGTAGAAACTCATAAACTTGAAACCGAAAAACAGCTGCAGCTTGAGGTCTTGAGGCTTCAGGGACTCTATAAATGATCAATTGTCCGTGGTCTTGTCCTTCTAGTGGTTGTATCTATTGAACTTTCCTCAATAATTAAAGGAACGAGCACCGATAAAGTATACACTTATGTCCGGCATCAAGACCTTACATCACGATCTCTTAGTACCACTAGCGCACTCTACAAGAAGCCATAGGCTTATAGTACTACCCAATGGGATACTCACACTGTTAATATCAGATCCCACCGAGGATTTGGCGTCAGCAGCCGTCTGTGTTGCTGCTGGTGCTCATAATGACCCTGATGAAGTCCCCGGGTTGGCTCATTTCTGTGAGCATCTCATACTGCTTGGTTCAAAGGGCTTTCCAGGTTGTAACGAGTTCCACAGCCTGTTGTCCAAAGCTGGTGGGCGTCGTAATGCGTTCACCACTGGTGAACAGACATGTTTCTTCTTTGAGGTTCCATCTGATTCTGTCTATCAGGAGAATAAACCTCTCTTTAACCATCTGATTGCGATGTTGGCAGACGCTATGGTTTCACCATTATTCCCTGAAGCGATGTTTGAAAAGGAAGTGTATGCTATCGATGATGAGCATTCAGCGAATGTCAATAAGACAGGAAGGGCCATGTACCATGGTGTTCGTCTTCTTGCAAACTACAGGCATCCGTTTAGCAGATTTGCAACTGGTAACTTCTTTACCTTGAACGACATACCAAAGATCAACAAAGTTAACGTCAAGGATCAACTAAAAAGATTCCATTCTCAGAACTTCATTGCAGAGAAGATGACTTTGGTCATTAGAGGCTCACAATCTCTGAATCTATTACAAAAGCTGGCACTTAGCTTTAGTAACATCAAGACGTTGTCGGAAGTTGATTCAAAGAAGTCAAAATTGAATATCTTTGGTAAGTCAAATTCACCATATCAACATAGACCACTGGATAAAGATTTAGAGCAATTCAATGTATTGTCTTCATGGAAGTATAGTTCATCCATTTTTACCAGTGAAGAGAGGCATTTGGCTATTTTAATGGACTCAGAGAAAGCCCCAATTGTCAGGCTCGTCTTCCCTTTCAATTCTAATATTCCACAAGCTGATAACCTCCAGCGTGTTTGGTGTAATATCCTCGGTGATGAAGGTCCAGGCTCACTCCATGATGGCTTAAGTACTAGAGGTTTGTCGATTGGTGTCTCTGCTTTCACGCAAAAGTTGTCAAAGGACGAAAGTGTCCTAGTGCTGGAGATCAAGCTGACCAATACAGGAGCTCAGAATATCTTCAAAGTGATTGCAACAGTTCTAGGGAGCTACAAAGACAGCATCTTGTCCAATGCCAAAGATCTCGAAAGATATATCTTTGAATTAGAGTCGATGGATAAGCTGAGCTACATTCATCAAGATCTCCACAAGTCCACGATGGATGAAGCCAGCCAATTTGCTCAAAATTTACAAAATGATATAGCCATTTTAGGTGCTAAAAACATATTAAAAGGTACTCAGAATTGGCAATCTTCTAGCACAAAGGATAAGCTATGGGCGGACGTGGCTTCACAGTTTGTCTCGTTTGTTGAACGATACCTGAACCAAGATAACTTGAGGTTTGTGCTAATGGCCAGCGAGAAAATAAATCGGTCTGTTTCATCGTCGTGTGGACTCTTGGAATCATCAAAGGATCAATATTTCACCTTTACGTATCGTAAGGTCAAATTCAATCCAATAGAGATTTCAGAAGAATACTCTACTCTAAGATTCAACTTGCCTAAACCAAACATTTATATTCCAACCTTTGCTATGGACCATGATATACTTAATTCGATTTTGAGACAAAGTGCTGCCAAGTCCTCTCAGGCTTCATTATCATTGACAACAAAGGCAAAATGGCTAGAGACTGAAGCAAAATTGATAAGTTTGAGCAATACATTTGAGCTTTGGACCAAATTGGAGACATCAGAGTCTTTCAAATCAAAAACATTTATCTCTTTTGACTTAGTTGCATGTTCTGTTGATCCATCTCCTCTAAACACAATGCACTGTGAAGTATTTGTCGAGCTGCTAAAGCTAAAGATCTCACAATTGCTTTATCACTCTGAGCTGTTAGATTACACCTGGGAAATACATGCTTCTATCAAAGGCGATGCAAGATTTGGTGTCACAATTACTGGTTTTACTGATGGTGTTAAACTTATGCTGAATAATATTGTTGAACATTTTAAAGACATTGTTGAAGGGCATTCCTTCACAGCTGATGACTTCAGGCATGCTAGAGTCGCCGTGAGGTCGAGGTATAGTGATCTTGAACAGGATAGCTCATTAGCACATGCTTTGACAGGCTTATTAGTGGTTATGGAGGAAAACGTATGGACTATGGAGGATCGTTTTGATGCATTGGATGATTTAGACGCTGAGACGTTTAAACAATTCCTTGTCCAGTTCTCGTCTAGCTCAAAGTTTCTGAGACTATTCGTCCATGGTGATTTACACTCAACTGATGATATTATTGCCTCTATCAATCAAATAAGTCATCATTCAAATCCTCAAGCCTCATTCAATCACATTGAGCCGTCTACTGTGAAGTTGAATCCTGGTAAAACTTTTACAATTTCAAGGAAGGGACCAAAGAGCGATCCCACAAACTCCATCTGTTTGTTTATTCAAACAGGCCCACGCTCGGACAGTTATACCAAACTCGTCACCCGATTATGTGCTTATTTGATGTCATTAACATTAGTTCCAGATCTTAGATTCAAGAAACAATTGGGATATGTTGTTCTTGGGGGAACCAGAATCTTGAGAACCACAGTGGGAATTCACATCACCATAATGAGTTCCACATTCTCCTCCAAATATCTTCAGAGGCAAATTGATGAATACCTATTATCCTGGGAAAAAACAATCAGTGATTTAAGTACAGAGTCATTTCAAAGCGATGTTGTTGACCCATTTTTGAAGACATTGTCCAACAAACTGGATGAAAGTGGGGGACCAGAGAGCTTGACATCTGAGATGAAACCGAGTGTTGGAAGCTCCAACTGTGCCTTTAGTGGTGATTGCGTCAAGTTTCACCGCAAGATCAGAGACGATATCTTCAGTGAAGACTATGACATCTCCTTGCACCAATCTTCTGTGCAACGTTTGAAACTTTTAACAAAGTCTGATCTTTTGAGATTTATTTCTGAGTTCATAAGTCCTAGATCTCCGTCACGTGCCAGTCTAAGCGTGTTAATCGACTCTCCGCTCTCGCCAGAAGAATCAAGAAAGCAAATCTTGATATTACATCTAGAGGTCTTTTTGAAGATGAAAGGATTAAGAATATCCCATAATAAGCTCCAGGATATTGTTGAAACAAGCAACGGGACTCCAGTACATCTCATGAAAGGTCTATTCAAGCACTTTGTTGGACAAGGTGAAAGTATGAGACTATGTACTGTTGTTCTCAAAGAAGCAGTTAAACAAATTTTTGAAGGCTTAAAGAGTGGAGGAAGCCAAAGGTCAGAGGAAATTAGTTCTAATGGTGATCACATATCAATCACAGATATACCATCATTTCAGAGTGAACAAGGCATTATACGTAAGACCAATCATTTATAGGGATGTTTCTTTTTATACATTAATACACAGCGTGCATCTCATGCTAGTCTCTATAGCTTCAAGTCTTGTATGCCCATTTCAGCAGCTTGGAATGGAGAGATAGTTCTATCGAAGACCCAAAGACTCTGGAGTGGTACATACACGCTATATGGATAGTGGAAGACCATCCGGACATTCGTATACACATTGGGCTTTTGTTAGCCTAAGTAGTTATTGGTTTAAACCTCTTGAACAACCTGATCAAGTAGTTCATTTGATAGAGTAAAGAAGTTTGAAATGTGAATGTTTGAAATAATCGTTAATCGTGTAACTATAACTAATTTTAGTAGATTTTAGAGGCTTTTATACTAAATATTGTTTATTAGATTTTATCAGAATAAATCCAGTCCACAGTAAAGTTAGAAAAGAAGAATTCATTTTGAAAAGATATATTTTGGTTTCATAAAGGGTTAAACAAAAAACCAGGGTTTTATTGAACAATAAAGTACATAGTTCATATAAATTCAGCTGTGTTGAAGCTTCGTTACATTTAAGTTACTCAGCTAATTGGTGTGTCAAACTATGTGTGTCCGGATGTTTTTCCTTGATACCACCAACGTACAAAAGTAAAAGTAAGTTTTCAGCTGATGAAAGACCTCTTGGAGTTACCGATATAGATGATAATCATTGTTCAAAGTATAGTACAAATCACTGTACACTTACCTCCAAGGCCGAATTTGCTTATTATTTCACTGCAAAGCTTTGAGCCAAACATTCATGAAAGATTGACCTATCACAGCACACACATTACCAAGCGATATGATTAATGTCCGGATGTGTTATGACACAATCGGAGTTGTCGCAGAAAGTTTCCGTCATCTATGAAACCACAGCGAAGCACACTTACAGCGACGAATCGAATTGTTACTCAATGAGTCTTATTGGTTTCCCAGTAAACAAGTCGACATTTCGCATTATTCTCAGATCTCAATTGTTTGCAGACGCATGGGTTCATGAACAAAGCTCTTAGTCGAATTGGGCAATTAGTAACTGTAAGATGCGTGGTCCTTGATCGATTAGTCCAGCTTGTAGCGAAGAACTGCAAACCAAACACTACAACTAACATATGTAACATATCTGAAGAGACTCTATCAAGATTCTAATTATGATATAGGTACAGATAAGAATATACCTCTGAAGACACGTTCATAAACAAGAAACCAATGTCAATGATTGCATGGGTCTTTGACACCTCTATTACCTTTCCCTCCATTTCTCAAATTCACTTCCAACTTGGAATTGATCTATTCTATTCGTCTCCTTATTCAATGTTGTAGATGGCATCGTAGAAGTACAATATTGAAAAGATCAAGAATGCAAAGGCACCACCCAAAGTAACGGTTCTCATACTGATTCTAGAAGCAAGCATCTTACCTCCAATGACAGCACCTGCTGTACAGATACCGTGTCCAATGACAGCACCCATGATAACTAACCAATAGTTCGAGCCAGCAGCCATAGCAATCGTCGCGATTTGTGAACGATCACCCCATTCACCAAGGAAAATCATTACAAACACTTGAACCCAGAGCGGTGAGAGGACAAACGATGATAGTTCCTTAAAAGAGTGCAACACAGACATCACCGAGTCTACCACCAATTCCTGGAAAGAACGGTTTGGATTCTGTTTTGTTTCATGACCACCTGTTTCCAAAGTGTCCAAATCGTTATTCATATCAGACACGGTCAATTCTTCTTCAACCTCGGCCAACTCCTCGTCAACTCCCAAATCTTTGGACATCGTCAAACCTTCCCTGGTCAATTTGTAACCGAACACGAGAAATAGTACAGCAGCCAAAAACTGAGTGACACGCTTTGACAACAACGTAGGTAAAGTGTGTCCAACAATACCGGACAGAATAGTCATTATAGCCAACGATGCAAATGACGCGGTAAACACCACAATCCTTGAATGGCGCATAGCCATGAGCGCAGAGATCAAGAACGTTTTATCACCGATCTCAGAGACTATGATCATAGAGATAGACATGAAGAATGCGTTCGAATCTGTAGATTCCTGACCTGAGGCACCACCCTGTTCAGCAGCTGAGCCTTGAGAACTGGCCCTGACAGAAGGTGCATCCATATGGCTGATTCTTTGAGCAGTATCTTGATTTTTGTTGATATTACCATTAGCACCGGCTCCATTCCCTGGAGGAGTCACAAGGTCCTCGATTGGACTCGTATTGGAATCAGCAACTTGAATATCAGCAGGGACGCCAGCGGGTAAGCCTCTCTTATGAATCTGAACAGCATGTGGCAATCTTCTATCACCCAAGGATGCTAAGTCAAGCGCGTATACCACCGTAAGTAGAGTCAGGTAGCCCAATAGCCTCATTCTTCCTTTAACAAGGGGTCAAGATACACTGTATACAAACAGACAAGCGATGAAATCAAGTAAACAAGAGGAAAATAGCTGATGTTATTGATCCTGAAATTATTTTCAAGATTTTTTTTGCCTAATGTAGCCAAGGAACATAATCACCCATGCTGTTTACATAAGCACCGAGCTATATAGTTCTCAAGTCAATTTCACCAAAATGTGAATTCCTCTCGGTGGCCAAGTTGGTTTAAGGCGTCAGACTGTAATGGAAACAAAGTCATCTGAACATCGGGCGTTCGAATCGCCCCCGAGAGATTTTTTTTTTCGATTTTTTGCTCTTCGCGGTTTCCATGGTTACTGAAGAATTATACACATCTCGGAATTCTTCACATCTTCAAAGTCATCGACATGGACTTTTCATCTTGTCATTTCCTATTTGTCGTGGCAGCTTTTCTTTGGTCCAATATACAGCACAATTAGTTGATGCCTGAACCTGAACAATGACAGCGAGCGAGATACTAGAACGGTTAAAGTCTACACAGAGCGCAGAGGATATCGAATCTCTCACACAACAGCTTTTACCACTACAGGCTTCTTTTCTGCTCCCACTTCAATTACAGATCATCACAACTTATCTCGATAAGATATTACCAGTGTATAACAGCCTGAAGACCACAACCAAGCTGAAAATAAGGAAACTGTTCATTTCATGCGCTGCTATATCACAACTTCTCAACCAGTATAAGCTGTCAGGGAAGAATGAAGTGTACTTCCAATTCACAAGAGATTTGATTCTAGACCCAAGCCTTTTGGGCTCAACCTTAGAGTCGTGCAGCGGGAACAGAGCAGAGCTGAAACAGACGAGAGCGTTGTTTTTTGGATCAAAGATCTTCAACACTTTCGAAGGTAAAATCACCATGGATGATTATATCAAGATAGTCTCTAGACAGTTGTTACAGGTTTGTATGGGCATGAACGATCCACCGGTGGATTATTTCCTTGCACTTTTATCATTACATCCCATAGAAGCGAAGGTTATACTATTTGATGAATTCCTACATGCTGACAGACTGAAATATTTGTCAAGTGCCTTACATAGAATGTCCCATTTACAAAAGAGACAGATGTTCAATTACTTGATACCATATCTCGCTAACCACACGGGCATCAATAACTTGAGCACAGTTGCATCAATATTATCTCAATTAGATATTACCGGAGTCGAAAAACATATAATAACGACTCTGAGTGAGGTTGACAACTGTGAACTTCAACAGTGTTTTGTTAAAGTAATTGGACAACATTTACAACAGACACAGTATCTCCTATCTGTATGGGGTGATGGTGTGTATATTGCGGATGCAGCATCTGAGAAGCAAGAGACAATGACCAGACTGATACTTATTGAACTGCTATATCTGGAAAAGGATCAACTGAAGCAGTTATCCTCAGAGACAGTGTTTCTCTCTGCTATCACATCCAGGATCTCCAGTAACGATACGAGACTAAGAAATCTAGGAATGATGGTCGCAAAGAAACTAACTTGTGGTGAAGTTAGCATTGATATGGAAGATGAAATTCAAGTGGAGAAGCCAAATATTTTAATCTCAAACACTATTGATTTCGCAGACTTACATTTGGGCTCGATGCCTAATCTTTCAATTTCACATATGAAGACCACTCAAGTGGACTCAGACGATGAAAACGATGAAGATTCCAGTGATGATGACGATGAGGTTGATCAGGACCCTGTTTTCCTGAAGGACTTGATACAGAAGTTTACAGACAGCTCAACTCGATCAGTTACACGTTTACTGCAAGTAACTGTTAGACTGGTTCGCCAAAAGGCAACGTTCGGGTCAGAGCTACAGTTCTACTCACCAGAGTTAATTGCCATTCTCTTGGGGCTCTTGAACAAGTATGATGAGGATAACTTCGAAGAGCTAAAGCTCAACGCAATAGTCGCTGTGATTGTTTCAAGCCCACAAATCATATCCAAAGTTTTCGAGTTGTTTTTCACAGGTGATTACTCACTTCAACAGAGAATGATCACTTTATCTGCTATTGGCCTCAGTGCGAGAGAGCTTCGTGGCTTCGATGATAAAGATATACAAAAGCCCCAGTTTTCATTCCCAACATCACATATTCCACAGAGGGAACAGCGTAGAGAGCAAATCGAAAGAAGCAAGAAGATTGTGGAAATTGAGTCAGATGATGAAATGGTTGGAACGGTCTTGCGGAAATCTTCCAAATTGACAAAGCCAAAGGTACAAACCAATAAGAACCTCTTTGCAAAACATGCAACCAAGTTCTTCTACCCTTTAGCAAATGGATGGTCTGCCGGCATTGATCTTGGTGGGTATAACGAACTCTTTTTAAAACATTATCTCTCAACGTTGCATATAGTGTTGCAAGCTTCGTACCCTTGTCATTCTTATGAAGAAATGGTGGATGCATACACACAGATACGCGATAGTGTTCCTAATATTACACTGTAAACAGAGTTACGTATACTTCATTCATTCGTTATATTATTAAAACATCATCGTTCATTGTAATCTCATGGGTAAACCGTAAACAACAGGCGCAGCACCGTTCAAGTACTGCAACTTGCATTCATCACGAGACAATCTGACAGCATCACATATGGTGTTTCCAACTTCACCATCTTTTAAACCCCATCTTTTGAACAAACCAAGTGTAAATTTATCAATATCCTTATCCGTTACATCCCATAAATTACCAACGATCATTGGGCAACCTGCGACAAGATATGAAAGAACGGTACCACTCGGTTCTAGAAGATTATTGTCAATTAAGGCAACCGATGAACACCCTAGTAGTAACGAGGGGGCAACTCTTGGAAGTTTCTTGATTGTCGTTTCCCTAATGTAACTCGTACCAGACCCATGGCCCACATAAAGGAAAATCGAACATTGGAGATATTGGCTGAATTGATCTTCTGTTGGCTTCATGCCACATATACCTTCCCAGGAGTGCTGCTCTCGGAAATGTTTCAAACAATCAGAAAACCTCTCCTCAGTCTTACTAAGATCACCTGCTGGGTTGATAATGAAAGCACCATTTGTCTTGGATATAGATAAAGGCGATTTCTGTAGCATTGAGATGCACAGACTAACTGATGGTATTCTGGATATTGACTGACCTCTCAAGCAAGGAATACTCTCCCATGGTATACTGTGAAGTTCCTTCCCCAAGATCAATATCGTATGAGAATACGATTCAGGGTTTGGATGGAGAGCGAGGTATTCTGTCATTAACGTCTCAGTCTGGACATATATGTTGTCGATATCGACTTCGTCATAAGCGTTTTCTTCTCCATGAAATAATAAAATGTCCAAGACAAAGTAAATCAAGTCCTCTAGTGGTTCCGTAGTAACCAGTGCGCTTGGATCACCAAGTCTTAAGAATAATTCAATGACGAAATCGTCAATTTCAACAGGTTTTGGTCCATGATTCCTGTGTGATCTAGTTGGTATATTCATACGGATAATACTCAAAAACTTTCTCTTGAACACTTGGAGGGCTTCTTGATTAATCTTTATAGGACTGAATATTCCTTTGAAGCCACTGATCCAATAGTGTTCTATTTTCTTGAGCAGAGCAGAGAGTCTATTGTCAAGTTCAGCTCTTGTCGTATGCCACTCCTTGCGTTGTTCTGCAGTGTCAATAGAGGAGACAACCTCTTGGGACATGGTTTTATCACTCTCTTTGATGATCTGTTTCAATTCATTCAAACAGTCATTTAATTTGAAATTAGGGTCTTCACCAGTTCTTACAAAGAGTCTAGTCAAGGGAAGCTTCAACATCTTCGGAGCCTCATCTAGTCTTGTGATAATGAGTTCGTCATTGATAGAACTCACATCTATGCTTAGAATCTGCCAGTTTTGGTCTCTGATCAATGATATGTCAGGTTTCTCAAATTCAACAGCCATAGAGCTTGGTAGATCAGCATCGAACTCAGGTATCTTCTTGCCAGTATTGCTTGTAATATTGATCATTGCCTTCTCGCTAAGAAAGGGCTGGGTCTTCACATGGTTATTAAGGAGAATACATTCCTCAAAACTGTCATTGCTGTTATAACTATTCGATATACTTGATAGTGTTAACAAGTCAAGTGAAAGAACCCTGTGGATCTCATTTCTTTGATAGTTTGCCAAATATCTTAGTACAGAAATCAACTGAACAATCATTCCTTTTGATTGTCTCATACCGGTAATCGCCTTTTTAACATTCTTCACGCTGTTTGATTTAGCCTTCTGTGGTAACTGAGGAACAGGAGCCACATCAAACTTCTTAACAATTGAGGGTATTGCCATGGCAGAGTCTTCCATTGTGGAATAAAGTGGGTCCATGTTCAACGAATTCTGGGCATTGATAAAAAGCCTTCTGGAGTTCAGCATGTAATTCATAGCATGTAAGTAAGGATTTTTTGAGGTGTTGAGAGTTAGATCCACAACTTCTGAATTGAAATGGTACTCATAATTTAATCTCCAAACATTGGCTAAAACCTTTCCTTCTTTCTCCATAAACAGTAAGAAGGCCTTTAAATTCCTTCTAGCCTCCACTTGAGAACCAACATCATCATGGTAGATATCAGAAAGGAGTCTGTAGTATATCAGTTTGTAGTTATCAACATATTTTTCATCATCATCATTAGTGTTGATCAAACGGAGGCTATCAAATAACTGGTCCGCCTGTGTCTTGATGTCTAGACATTCTTGTACCTTTCCTGAAACGTGGTAGTAGTGTGCCATAAAGTAACAATTCTGGACAAAAACCATCTTGTATTTGGAGACTGAGTCATTGACCTTCTTAAATTCTCCAACGTAGTAGTCTGCATCCTTGGATAAACCCAAGTGAATTAAGGTATTGATCACATTACGAAATGCAGACATCATGGAACGTATAATCTGCAAATTACCTTGATCTGTTTTTAATACCGATTTTGCAAGTTGGATAGAAGCAACAGCTGATGTGATTGATTCCATGTGACAGCCTTTCACCCACAGGAACTTTGATCTTGAAAGCATAACCTTAACCAGGAGTTTCAGTACCGTAATGAATTTATCCCTAGGAAATGCACACTTGTTTTCTATACTGAAAATTCCAGGATATGAGTCGATGATCTGGTAAATTTCATAAGCAGTATCGGTGAGCCCTTCCTGATCAAAGTTCACCATGAAATATTTCAACTTTAGCAACTTGAATGGTAAGACACTCACGATATATTGGAATTGATCCCCGTGATCCTCTACATATCCATCAAAGTTACCAGGCAAAAGCTTGAGAACTTCTCTCAAAGTTAACATATTCTCGAGGCTTTCAGACAGAAACCATACTTTAAAAGTCTCATTTGCATCCTTTAGATACACTTCGATACTCGAGAATAATCTCTTTAGAGCTTTGTGATATCCAAAAAACTTCAGATATCCGACAAATTGCTCTAAAAATGTTGTTTCAAATGATGTTACTCGAGACCTGTTTCTAGGAACCCAGCTGTTGAGATAAATGTTCAGGATTTTGGGGAGATTCAACGTCGATTTAGCCCTGATTTCAACCGAAAGATAATAGAAACACTTGATTAAATGGTCATAATTTGTCGTTGTTATAGTGGAAATCCTTTGGACCTTCAATATTGGCAATTCTTTGCAGAAAATACCGCACAACATTTGTAATATCTGATCTCCTATAGCAAGATTTTGGAATAGGTTTACAAAATCGACATCTGTGCAGTACTTTGTTGCCAAGCAGAATACCATTGCTTTATCACCTTCGGCAAGGTCAGTAATTCGGAAGGCATTCAAGTTTTGAAAGAGTAAATAACCACCAAATTTTCGCTCAAAAGTGTCAAACTTTTCAAGCAATCCTTGATTTAGTTGAGACAAGAAGGCACTGTTGAAAATTATGGACGATAACTTGGATATCATGGTGATGTTACCCTTGAGGATTTGAAGTGCCTTTTTGAACTTGATGTCAAGGTCTGAGGTATTTTGATTTCGGAGAAACAGATCCCTCTCAACAAGCAAAGACTGTTCAAAGTATTTGAGATTGAACGATAGATTTGACAAGTTTCTTAGTCTCTTGGTATCACCGCAGTGAGAGTATAACTTGAAAAGTTTCATCAAATATTGTTCCCAAAATTGATCAGGCGCATCTATCAACTTGGCATTGATCAATGTCTTATCAAACACTTTGTTTGTTTCCTTTGTTAACGAATGTGAGTGGTTGGCGTAAAAAGTCAACAATGTAGAAACGTCATCACCTTTCTTAAACTTCAACTTTAAGATGTACTGTCCCAATGAATCCATGAGTTGGGACGTTGGTCTTTTGATAGCGTCCAACTCAGTTGCGACCAGCGCAGAGTTTAGATTTGCATTGTTCAAAAGCTTGATGACGATATTTGACCTTACCGAATCGGCAACCACCAATTCCCAATCTAGTCCAAGATCGGAACATAGGGAAACTATACGAGCATTGACAGATTGGAAGTTATCTGAATAGTTTCCACAGGCAAACTGGTGATAATATAACGGAACTTTATCCAAAATTTCCATCGAAAGCAACGTTGATTCCAAATTTTCAACAAAGGTTTCAAACGTGCCATTTAATATGAAATCAGAAAACTTTAAGTTGAACCTTTCAACATAATTCAAGAATTTCAAATGCATACACGTCTTAAACTGCACGGAAGGTGCCACACGTCCAAGTGATAGCACCAATTTGATGACTGATCTTAGCTGAAATCCATCCATAGTGGGTGTTATCCTTTCATTTAGAAAGAAGGTCAAGATATCTGATGCATAGGTATAGTTCTCACTTTGGAATAACTTGTATATGACCTGGATCATAAGTAGTTTCAACACTTTATCGTTGTCAGACCAGGTGGGCAGCGATATGCAATCAGAGAGAACATCAAAAGCCTCATCCTTTGAATGGAACATACAGCTCCTTATTTCACACACTGTTGTGGCATAGTCAGTCGACTTGCACCTGTTCTCAAGCTCTATTAATTTCACAATAAACGAGTTGTGTCTCTTTGTAACATCAGACATGTTATTAGCAAGATCCAACTCGTACAACTTTGTGAAGCATTCTGACGCTAGCTTGACGTACGCAGAATCAACGCTGTTCAAGGCATTGACTCGATTGAGCACCAGATCAATAGCGTTCAAGCAGAGCTTATAAATACCGTCCAGACTCTGTGGTATATCCACAGATGAATTCTTCTTGGTCGGTGACTGGTATTTAGTACCCGTGGGCGAATAGTTGACGTTAACGTGTCTTAGCGGCGGTCCTTGAGCTTTGAGCTGTGAATAGCAACTGACTATCCACGTCCATGCGGCTTCTTTCTCCATGCTGTTCTGAGAACTGAAATCCCTAGTTGTACACAGCAAATGAGCTTTCTGTGGTTTGGAACAGGTATCAAAAATCGTTTGTTTACATTTCCTGTTGACGTTTTCTGCTCTCTGTGGAAAAATACTTGCGCGGTTCACCAAAGTCCTTTTGGTACACACACTCGGACAGTCTCCAGGACAACATCTATGGTGGGAGAACAATAGCAATGGTATATCGAAACGATCAGAGCTCCCTCATTAGGAAGTCAAGCGCGGGTGCGCATACAAGGCATTACCCTCCTTTTTTACCCTTATACACACAATGATGGAAACCCTTTTAACTAGTGGAAACACATCCAATTCATAGCCCCTTCTCGCTCCTTTCAAAGTGTGAAACTATCAATTGGGCCGGGAAAGAGCTGAGAACAAGAGGGTCTTACACAGGATAGACGAGTTTATCGATGTCCTTCTTCAACCAACTACGCGAGAAGGCATCCCAGCTTTCCTTATTCGATAAGGCAGAGGCGGACAGGAAGCCTACGAGAGATGAGCTGTTCCGAGACGAGTTCAAACTGCCGGAATGCGAGACCATTGTTGATGAGAGTAATGCCGAGCTGTTGATAGTTGCGGTGAAGAGTGACGGCACAAGTGCCAGAGACCAAAGCCATGACGAAGGTCCCGTAGTGTACCCGGGGAAGCTTTACCTGACACAACACTTTCTAGTGTTCAAGGATTCCATTGACAAAAGAAGCTGCTCATTGACACTCAACCTATCTACTGTAAAGAAGGTCGAGCGTATCCCTTCAAAGGCTTTCATATTTGCGTTGTCTATCTTGACAAGCTCTGGTACCAAAGTGTTGATCCAGTTCATCGGAATTAGATCAAAGTCAGAGGAGTTCTCTCAAAAGCTCAAGTCTCAGCTGAAGCATAACATCCCCAATACGAAGAAGCTTGAACCGTTTCTACGCACTTTATATTCCGAGTTCATTATCAGGAAGAACGAGCCTGGCGTTGACAAGAGCAGTGTGAAGGCCCCGGAAGGTGGATTGGGCCTGCTATTCAAGTTCCCTGGTGACCCGAAGAAGTTGAAAGACAAGTCAAAGTTGAGGCTTTGGTACGACTATTTCAGATGTAATGGAAGAAATCTAACACTTTCAAAGCAAAAGATGTTCCAAAAGCTCATTCGTGTTGGATTACCGAACAGACTAAGGGGTGAAATGTGGGAATTGACCTCTGGTGCAATGTACTTGAGATTCCAAGAGCTGGGCACATACCAGAGGATATTGGATAGCCACAGAGATCAGAGGTCTGTGGCAATTGAAGAAATTGAAAAGGACCTGTACCGTTCGTTACCTGAATACTCGGCTTATCAGTCAGAAGATGGTATCAACAGATTACGTCGCGTATTGACAGCGTACTCATGGAAGAACCCTGATCTAGGGTATTGTCAGGCAATGAACATCGTTGCTGCTGCGTTACTCATATTCCAAACAGAGGAACAGGCATTCTGGACTCTCTCAATTTTGTGTGAAAAGTATGTCCCTGGTTATTACTCAACAACCATGTATGGTACTCTCCTGGATCAAAAGGTGTTTGAAGCACTTGTTGAGAAAACGATGCCGATTCTCTGGACACACATCTCGAAGAACGATATTCAACTCTCAGTGGTTTCACTGCCGTGGTTCCTGTCCTTATTTCTGAGTTCAATGCCATTGGTGTTTGCGTTTAGAATCATTGATATCTTCTTCCTTCATGGACCAAAGACTCTTTTCCAAGTGGCACTGGCAATTTTGAGAATTAACGGAGAGGAGCTCTTGGAAATAGACGACGATGGAATGTTTATTTCTGTGATTAAAGAGTACTTTTCTCAATTGGATGATTCTGCTCATCCAAATTCACCAGATCCGAAGTTTAGACAACTCACAAAGTTTCAAGAGCTGCTTATTGTTGCCTTCAAGGAGTTCTCCGTTGTTACGGATGACATGATTTCCAAAGAGCGTAATAAACACAAACCAGCCATAATGAAGAACATTGAAAACTTCATGAAGAGAACCCAGTTGCGTAACTTACCGAGAACCCACCACTTAACACAGGACCACTTGTCGAATATTTATGACCGTTTCTACGAATCGATCCAATCTAAGAAAATGAGTCTTGGAACAGGCAAATCTTCAATGGACTTTGAAACTATGAGACAGTTTCTGTCGGGGTTCTGTGACTGGATACTCCCTGATGACGAATTCAAGTACCATGATGGTGATTTCTTACATCGTCTCTTTAGAGCTTGGGATAAGTCTGGTCAGAACGAACTCAGCCTTACCGACGTTGTTGTTGGATTGGATAAATTGGTTAACCGTAATCTGATGGAGTCCATTTCAAACTTTTTCGGAATATATGACCCAGAAGGCACCGGTGAGATTGACAGAGAGGGCATTCTACAAGTTTCTGAAGGGTTACTATATATCACAAAACCCCTTCAAGATGGTAAGATTTTAGACCAGATAACCACCAATTCTATTGAGTCCTATGTTGCAGACAAGGTACTGGAGCTACAGACATCTCCAGACGACATTGTACTCCCATCTGAGGTGAACATTGATAAGGAGAAATTCCAACGTGAGCAAGGTGAACGTTACCTGTCAGCAGCATCCAATTTCATCCAGCGTGCGTTTGAATATGCGCAACCGGTTGAAGAGCCAATGTTGATCGATCTTCCATCTTCGAAAGATACAGAGAAGTTGAAGGCAAACTTGGCTCTCGACCCTACCCACCCATTAACCTTGAACGTTCCAACTTTCCGCATGGTGATTCTGGCTGATGAATCTTATGAACTGTTGTTCTCTAAGACATTGGCAGATACCATCCATGTTGATCGTTCAATAACGGTCACAAACAAGAATGGTGTTCTTCGTGATATGTTTGATGGACTCATCGCAGATGGACGTCGTGTTGCATCACATGTCCGTCGTCGTATGGATTCCACTGCTACAACCAGTGCAACCTCTGTTACATCTGGATCCTCAAGGAGTAGAACAGCTGTTGTATCAGCAGATGAGGACGATGACGATTTCGATCCGCACGCGGATGATGGCGATCTGATGGATAACGTTGAATTGAGTGCTCTTGGGGACGTTCCTATTGGCGGACTTTCCGACAAGGAAGCGCAAAGAGGCGAAGATTTAAAGGTTCTCCACGAGCAAAGTAATTATACAAAGGATACAGACCAGCTCATCGAATTCGAGCATTAATGATAAGCACACATCACAATTTAAGATACATTATATTATGGTACGTAGTTGATACCTTAGAAAGAACCTCTTCTTTCATTTGTTTGTTCTTCCAAACAACTTCTTTAGTTTGGCAAATCTCTTAGGTTTTTCTTTGGATTGATTTGGAACTTCACTTTCACTAAAGTACCTTGTCATACGATGGTTCTCTGGAACAGATTTTGCAGGTGATGGTGCCTCATTCTGTGATACTGAACGAATGTTTTGTACAGAGTTTGGTTTGCGTAACGTCTGTGTTTTTGCAAATTGGGGTGCTGGTGCAGCAAACACATCGTCATCATCAGAATCATTCTCAAAACGTGATTTGAAACCTGAAGATAGATTTGCAATCTTATCGGAGAAATTGCTCTGTGATTGCTGTATCGACTGCGTTGCTTGTTGATGGTGTCCATTTGAACGAACAGCCTGATTACGGTAATACCCCAACTGCGATTCAAACTCCTTGGGCTTTGATGTTCCAAAAGCTGGATCTCTCATGGACATTCTTTTGAATGCACCATGTGCATCATGTGGACGCTCCTTTTCGAATGAGGATGCACGTTCAAGCTTTGGTGGGACTGGATCAGGTTTACGAGTAGCGTTCACAGCTGCTGCGTTAGCCGAAGACAATGGCTTCTGAGGTGGCTTGTTTATCACTGATGGATTATGTGAACGTGAAGTTGTGCTTTGTCTCTGCACGGGTTTGTTGTTTTGTTTTTGCTGTGTTGTTGAATTTGATCTCGGTTTCACACCGCGGTTTTGTTGTGTTTGACGACCTTTGGATTCAACTGTTGGCACTTTTGATAAACGGTTTGACGGTGAGCGTGATAGACTGTTTGGAGCAGTATTGAGGGCGTTGAGTCTTGTATTTTCAGCAGTTGTCAAGGACAAATAGGCGTCATTTGCTGGGTTAGAACCATTTGGCAGGTTAATTGAAGATGTGCTCGATTTGTATTTTAGAGCAGACTTCATAGGCGATGCTTGACGGCGTAATGCAGAACGCACAGGTAATTCTTCAGACTCTGAGGAGTAAACGCTTGAGCCACGATCCACAACAGTTTCGGCGTGGTTGTTAGCGTACTGTGATGGAATAGTAGGACGCAAGGTTTGAGCCATAGATGATGGTGCCTTCTCATCCTCAATCTTTGAAACTTCAGGTTCAGTGTCCTCCGTGGTGACTGAAGATTGTGCAAAGTTCAAAGTATCAGATGATTTAGCAGTAGATGGTAAGTCAACGTATTGATTCAAATTAGAGTCGTGGTTAACGTCACTGTTTTCATCTTCCAGCTTGGTGATAAACTCCTGTTCATGAGTCAATTCATCCTTTAAATCTTGAGCAAGTTTTGTCTCATCGGACTCTTTAGCAACTTTCAAAACCTCCAATTCACTTTCGCCAACTTTTTCTACCGATTCTAGCTCTTCATGAACAGTATCAGGCCCTTCAATAACAACATCTGGAACATCTTGTGACTCTTTGTTCTTGCTCAATTCACTACTAGCTTGATTTTCCCCGGAAGCAATATCGTCAACTTTTGCAATAATGGCTTGTGCAGATGGTTCTAGTTCAGATGGCAGTTCTGTTTGACCCGCTCCAGATTCGTCCTTTGCTTCGACATGATCTTCCGAAATTCCGTTTTGTTCAAGATCCGTTTGCTTGACGGTAGTAATCTCTTCCGCTTCAGATGCAACGTCTGCTTCCACATCACCAGACAGTGGTTCCGATTCACTTTTCTGTTCCAAGTCAGCAGACACTCGTTTAGGCTCAGAGTCCACCTTTGTTTCCGATACTGGCTGAGCCTTATTTTCAGTAACTGCGTGGTCTTTAATATGGTGCGCAACTTCAGGCTCGGGAGTGAATTCGGTTTCCTTGAGTTCGTCAACCTCTTTCAGTTCGTCCACAAACATTGCTCTCTTCGAGCTGCCAGTAGATTTTGTAGAACCTTGATCAAACGAGTTGAACCGTGGTTTCGGTTTAGTCAAGCTATGTGATCTCTGCTGGGACTGGCTCGGTTTTCTCTTCAAAGAGTTCTTTCTGAATTGCTCCTGCTCTTTGGCAATTTCTTCAACAGGTACTTCGACGGTGACCAGCCCATACGGGCCAGGAATGTACTTCTTTACAGTCTTTGGTCTGCTCACTGGTTTCAAGCTTCTGGTGTTTGACGATTGCGGCTTTGACGACCAACTCTGAGACCTCGTTGCTTGCTTTTGTTGTTGTTGTCTGGACGTCGAGGCGTTTCTTGCGGGTAATCCATAGCTCGAGAAACTGTTAAAGGATCCACTCCTAGCGGCAAATGAGCTTCTCTGTAGCGATGGAGTTCTCTGGAAGGAATTCGAACGAGGAATAGGCGTTCCAGTCTTTATAGAATTCCCAATGGCAGAAGCCGCCGCCAGCGCATTGGAGCTTGCGTTTGAAGGCTGTTTCATAAGAAGGGTTAGTATACTCCACAAATATAGCCTGCACCGCTAATTACAGAAACAAATAGCAGCAACGCCAACGAGATACTTACATCATGGGGTGGAACAGTGCTGACTGGACGACTCTTACGCTTGTTGAACATCTTGTCTCGCTGGAGTATTCCAAAACTTGTTGCTTCGGTTTGCAAAGAGGTCTCCAAACAAGGGGAAAAATAAACAAATCACGCTCAAAAGGACCCAAAGGGGGATGGGCTCCAGGCTGAAATTGGGCAAAAACAACAGCAGGGAAAAATAGCAAAGGAAGCACACGCAGGGAACAAAGAGAACAATCACGCAAAGACTGTGTCCAATTAATAATCGAGTGGCGAGGTTGAATTGGCGCTTACACTATGGACTAATCTGTCAATTGTTATGGGCTTTGGGTGTTGTGGTTTTCTTCAATTTGAATCTTTGCTGTGGTATGTAAATTACTATAAAAAGTTGCTATTTTCAAGTGTGTGTTTTGGCTGTAGTGTTTGTTTTCTGCTTCTTCTAACAAAATACAGCAGAGGAAGAAGGTTTCCGTACTGCGGCAAGCACTGCAACGAACTTTAGCCGCAGGTTGATGCCCACCAGAACAAGGAAGGAAAAAAGAAACATGTCCACTTTAGAACGATGGCTCTGGGAATCGTGCTGTGGTATCTTAGTACATTGATGTATTTGAGTGTAGGCTTCAGCCCATTGTGATTTATGTGTCAAAGAATTGGTCGCGTTGTATGGAAAAGGTGTGATTTTTCAGGAGAGTTCAGCTCCGATGTACAATATATGTATTGTGAAGGAAGAGGCAATCAACATGGGATGTCTATGGAGAGTGGCAATGTCAATGGAGAGTGGTTATGTCAATGAAGATTGATGATGTCGTCAAGTGCTCCTGTCCAGTGCCAACGGACCCAAACATTGATAGCTATCATCGTATCGTTGATAGCTCATCACATGACTATTCCACTGCCTTCAGAGAAACTATGTGACAAACTTCACCCATTGTCTCAAATATACAAGGGAGACGACCTATAATGGTGCATCGCACCCAACATCTACCAATTGTAACGCTACTCCAGCTACAACAATGCACATGTCATCCCACTGTGGAGCACACGGGAGTAATTATGTACGCATTTTCTTGAAGTTTATCCACCAAAGGGCTCGTAGGCGTAAACTAGTCATAGAAAGCGGAAAACTACACAAGTAAAGCATATTACGGAAGCTAAATTTCAAATGGTGACCGATGAACCATAAATCTTGACGTTGGAAATGTGTAGCACCCGCACGACGGTGGTGTTGAGGCGACAAAACCCTCCACCATGGGGGAAATGCACAGAAAACATTGCCTTGCCTACATAACCATGGTACTTTGTTCTTAGGCATCAGGTTTTAGGTTTAAGCTGGAGCTGGGAAGTTTGGTAAATCACCAGTGGCTCAAAGCCACACTAATTTGCCGACTCTAGTTTCCTAAAACAGCTCAGCAATCTTCGATTCTTGAGCAACTGCGTGAAGTTACTCAACTGCATGGGAGCGTAAGAGAAAGTAAGATAACAGACGTTGCAACCGAAAGACCGAGTTATAACCTTAAATTGGTTACCGATAAAGAATTCGGTATCCAGATCATGGAAGTTGCATGCCAAAGCACCTTTCTTTGGCGTCGAAGTCCACACTTAGGGTACAACACAGGCTAGAGAAGCAGAACTTAGAACATTCAGGAGATGACGTCTCTACAAAGGAACCACCACTGTAGTGAGCGGCCTTTATAAGAAATGTCATAGCCCAATGCCAGATCGTACGCGTCATGAGTCCAGCTTGAAGTTGAGGTGAGGTTACTCTCCATCAGCATGGAGCAGGATGACGTTTTCAGTTAGCGACGTAGTGGATCGCATAAAGGATTAGCATGCGAGCATGTGCGGTGATTATTGATCAAAGACACTAAAAGGGAGCTCAAATCCATTCAACTTGCGGAGTGTAGAATGACTCTCTGAAGCTTAAAAATTTTCCAGACTTGATGTGGGTTGCCTTTGGATTCATGTACCCGTCAACAATGCACATATCCATATTTGTTCGGCATGGCTCTGATCACTTGTACACTGTGATATCAATATTACCTCAAACGGACGAGGAAAGCCGAAGGATCAGAACAAGATCGACATTGGCTGACAAAAACAAACTCCCCAGCCAATCAACGCATACTCCCATGTACACTTGGATACAAAAAGCGGTTCAGTGTGGAAAGTTCATTGTTTAACTTGGCTTTCGGAACCCGACTATGAACCTACTGATCAGGTCTTTGTTTAGCTTATACATAAATAAATAGCAGGAGTGACAACGGTTTTTGACCTACCAGGGCGTGGCGTGTGTATAGCTTAAAATTCATAGGCCTCGTCGGTAAGCTGTCGGAAGCTTTCCAGCTTCCGATGTCCATTCAAAGTTGTGGATCCAACCGACGATGTACACAGCACGTACCGCCCAAAGCTATACAGCCGAAAATATCGGCAACACAGATATTGGGTGTTTGGCTTGTACCTGTTGGTTATGAATGTAGGCAAATAGCGTAATTGTAGCATACTGTGATATGCACAGAAGCATCACAAAAGGGGCATTCCAATTATGTATGCACCATAATGCGGCAGATGGTATTTCAAGGGCAGAAGTCCTCGTTTTGAACCCTCCTCAAAGTGTCTGTTTTAACGTTGAGTGTATGGCTTTGGACACATGTACCTTTGGCCACACGTAGCTCAATGGCTTCATATGTTCTCTGTTGAACTAACAGAAGCGACCGCATACTGTCTCATCTAATTATAGGAACTGGGCCCAAATTGGACGAGTATCCTTTTCTAAGCGAATTATTTTTACCATTGCATCATTTCATCGGAAACCCACACCACGTTAGGGAAAGTAGATGAACCGCATATGGCCCAGCCAAAAGGACGACGCGAAAGCAGCTCAGGTGAGAATAGCGGAGATGATAAGATTAAACTCCACCGTATCACTCGTATCCAAGTATTCTCAACTTAACGTCGCAAACTCTCACTAGCCCGTTTGAACTTTGCAGAATGTTGGGCTTTTGCACTTGATACACTTTCTCGGGAATAAACGTATCTACAACCTTAAAAACACAAAATTTTCCGTAACGATTTTACTTGTGAATAGAATGGTGGTATAGAGTGCATGGTGGTGTCCAACAGCTGTGGAGATATTTGCCGAGTATGTTTGGTTAGATCATTGTAGTTGAGAAAGAGCATCTTAATCTCTACCTTCGGTAATGCGTCCCAGATTAGTCGGAAAAGCTCTTCATAGCTACTTAACCGAGAACTCGGAGAGCATCAGAGAGTACACATTCTGGTCCTCGTGTGCTTGTTAGGAAGCGAAGGCTCTGTTTCGTGCTTCATGCCAAAAATGTGTGTTCCTATGTGCCTATCTGTTGTCTATACCTGTCCACCGTATACCGGTCAACTGTTGCTCAGGCATCCTTAATACCTTATTTCTAGAGTGACCATCATATAGGTAGCCTACGCCTTAGTTTCCTGCCATTGAGCCTTTCCTGACTTTTTATTATAACCTACAAATTAAGGCTTATAATGTCGTGCTGCCTGAAAAAATGACAGTTACAGTGCTTCGGAGATGTGTGTCAATGTTATTGATGTCACGAAGTGGGAAAACAATCGGTTTAAGGACATTAAGGGTTGACTCTAACGTGCGAGAATTGACGACGCCCGGTTGACAAGCTGCAAGCAAAGAAAAGAAAGGAAAGGGGAAGTGGGCCGAAAAGGGGAGTTGAGGTACAGGCTGCACGCCACTGCAAAGGAGACGCAGATATGCGCCAATCACATTTCTATCAAGCAGTGGAATTATTCTATGTAATGAACACGAAGGGCAATGTTTGAGCTCCTACACCACACAATTGCCTTACGGACGTAAAGTGGCAGAGTGGTTGATATCTTGTACTCTATATAAATAAGGAATCGCTTCCCGTAATCTTCACAACAGCCACACAGAAAAGGTCCAACCTCTTCAACAACAAACTAGTTGAGCACACCGTGACTACAACATACACTATGAATCTTCAGTACTTGGAACAGAACTATATGGAGTATCTCACCCAAACAGACAAAGACGTGCACCAGCGTGTTCTACAGCAATGGGAGTTTTTACCAGCCTCGTCGGATGACATTTTGAGTTATTCTCCTCTTGACACCAACTACTCTGGTCCTTCTCCTAATTTTTCCACACTCCAGGAGTTCCAAAGCGATGATTTCGTTCCAATAGAGACGTCACAGCAGTTTCAAAATTTTAGCTTGAGCATGTCTCCTTTGGGTTCCCAAGCACAGCCTCAAGCAATCCCTCTCAGCTCGACGATGACATCAGTTCCAGCTTGTTCATCAATTCCCTCGCCACTGAGCATGCTACCAACTCAACAAAGCCCAGAATTTTCATCCCTTACAATGCCACAAGATGCCCAAAGGAAGAGCAGTTTACTTGATGAGCTTCAGCACACCACAACGGCTTTGGAAAGTCATAAAGGCAAGCTGAAGGCACATCGTATGAAGACGAAGGGTCGCTGCTCAAAATCCAGAACACGTTCAGCCCCTTCGATGACGGATTTACCAACGCAAAGAGGACCAATTCCAGCTTCAAAGCCGGTGTTGAAAGTGAACCCTGTCACTGGGGAAGAAGTTCTTTCGTTCTCATACTCACGGAAGAAGATTGTCACCACTTTTGAAATCAAGTGTCCAATAGAACCAATGAACTCGAATAACTTCCCAACAGAATTTCTCGTTGATAATTGCGTATATCCAAGGGCTATGGCACCACCTCATGTATACACAGGTAAAAGGGGCAAATATGAACACGAATGCAACACAATCGGATGGACACTGGCGTGGATGAACCCCAAACTACGCAAGCATCGTGGTTTAATCCAAAGAGCTGTTGATTCATGGAGAAACACACGTCGTGATACATCACTGCACAGTCGTAAAGTGAGAAGAGAGGAATCACTAATTCGGAATTCTGGACAACAATAAGGCAGAAACTATGCCAAATAATGACAATACCATAATTATAATACATATTTCCCATTTTTTATATCATGTTTTCGTTATATTCCGACAAATCCATACTTTAAAGAGGTCCTTTGTAGATAAACACTCTTCACGGAACTTAAGTGTTAACTGTAAACATCTCGCTTATGGGTCATTGCCGTTGTGTACGGCTGTTTCATGCAGGGGCACTATCTGGTCGCTTAGGCAAAGCAAAGGATGTATTAGGCTTGATTTATTGAACTGAGAGCTGTGAACCATGCTTTCCTATGACGGCACAGAGTAGTATGACCTTTGAGTGGTGATTCTTCCTGAATATTCTGCCCTATACAACCAACCAAAAATCTCAATGTGACCCTGGATGAACCTCGCTTTCGGATCCATTTTTGACTTGTCCTCATTGGACTAAGGCTCCGCCTTGATCGTTCGACAGAGCACAGGTTTGAGAGCATACTACACCATAATTCCCGTTTATTACTGCTATCTTTCCATGCAGTATGCACACCACCTGTACATATCTAATATACTAACGTCAGTTTTGCAGCTTGCTCAAATATTAGAGATGCTTTTAAGCAACAACAAAAAAGTCGCAGTACAGTTATTTTATCAATGCTGTAATGAAGTCATTGGTCATATGCACAGTATTTTGAACCAATTTAGGTGCTGAGGCTCAAGAAATGTCAGCCTCGGTACTTTCTATCATAATATTCATGGCTGAAGATGTCATTGTCGAATAGATTATGTTTTAAAAATTCTGTCGCATATCTAAAATTCGACTTCGACCTCGAAGCCATCCTTTCCCCATAGAGAAAGTTGAAGTCAGTAACATCACAATGTGATGTGTTTTTCCAGCATGCAAAGTCATGTGCTTGTGATAACCATGGTCAGTAGACGGTTGACAAATGAACTAATCTTATGGACAATTCTACGCGAACAAGATCCTAGAAATTGCTATCATTGGGTGCCTCATCGTGCTTCTTCCCCTCCTGCAAATGGACCTGGTTGCGTGTAATATCTGATAACTTGACAAAGCACTAACATCCACATAAAGCCTTTTCAAGTCTTTGGAACTTCCCAGATATGGAGAGTTATCCATGCATATGTTGGTTCCCAACATCGGGAGCTTCAACTCGGGCAGTTACTCTGTAAAGACTCGGAACGAGGGACAGAGGTAGTTATTGGGAAAGTCAAGAGTTGTACCGAGAGGCTATGGAGTCCCGGGAAGATCCTTCACGATCCACAATATGCACTGTATCTAAGATCGTCCACAGTGTAAATCTTCAGAAGCCAGCTGGACGGTAATTCTGTCGGTATATTTTGGTGATTTCTGTATTTATTTATTTATTTTTTTTTGATTTTTGCAATATGAACGGCACAACTTACTCAGGTCACATCTAAAGAACCCTTTGTAGTTTTATACCTATCATCAAAGTAAAGAGCTAAGAGCAGATCAAAGGAATGTATGAAGCGTAGAAAAAGCAATTTGGTATCACCTTTTGTAAGAAGCGTAATTTCCGTGCACCATAGACCATGACTTGGACAGAATATCGGTTAGCTTACATTCATTCAACTCATTGGAACAAAACAATAGTTACTGTTGGACGCGGATCAGATGAAATATGCGATCTTCTTTCATGTGTAATTCCTCCTGGAAATTGAGATGAATGAAGATCTGTTTTCTTTTTGGAGGGGGTCTCGTTCTTAACAAATAACAGCTAAATTCCAGATAATAAAGCATTTGCTGAAAGTGAGATAGTATTGAGCATAAAAAGAGCTGGAGCACGATTATGCAACTTCTATAATAATTTTTTGGATATTTATATAAATGTTTTATAATTGTGTTCCATCAATATGTGCGCATAATTTATTATATAATAGTAGTTTACATGTTATAGCCACCTGTTAGCGCAAAGAAAAATAGGCGAAGGGCATTACCAAAGCCGAGAGAGGCCAGTGCACACAGTATAGTTACATGCTTTAAACAACAGATAGAAGCATACATAGCACCTCTTCACTGTCGAAATATGACTCATGAGATGTTCCTCGATCGTGGAATATCCTACACGGTATGGTTTATGAAGATGAATGGTTTGGTAAATACACCACCTTCAACCATCGAATCCTACATAGTCAGTCCCATAATTTGAATAGAATTAAATCACAATCATATCTATGACAACCGAAGAAATCACATTTATTCAACCGTGACGGATTTTGCCAAGTTTCTTGGGAAGTCAACGTCAACGCCCTTATTAACAGCCAACCAATACGACATCATCTGTAGTGGGATAATGTTCAACAAACCTTGCAAGCAGTCAACTGTCAGCGGAACCTCTAACGTCGCCAATGCAGATTCAATCTTGATGCTTTCATCGCCTTCGTTACGAACAATGATAGGACGACCAGCACGAGCAGTGACTTGCTCAATGGCAGACATAACCTTTGGGAATAAAGAATCACGAGTAGCAAATGCAATGATTGGCAATTGATCATCAACAAGTGCCAAGACACCATGTTTCAATTCACCGGCAAGGACACCTTCAGAATGCATGTATGAAATCTCCTTGATTTTAAGGGCACCCTCGAGAGCGGACGCAAATTGATAACCTCTACCGAGCAGCAAAAGAGATCTTTGATTAGCAAGTTCCTCGGTACAGAGTTTCTTAATCTTGTCTTCCAACAGTAAAACAGTCTTGATTTGTTCTGGAATTTTCTCCAATCCGTCAATGATCTCATGACGACGTTGGACTTTAGAGACATGATCATCAGAGAGAGAAAGTGCAATCATAACCAAAGCGATGAATTGAGAGGTATAAGCCTTGGTCGATGCAACACCAATTTCTGGACCAGCGTTGATATGCACACCACAGTGGGTTTGACGAGAGATTGAGGAACCAACAGAGTTAACAACACCGACGGTAATCGCATCTCTCTCCAAGCAGTACTGCAAAGCCAACAATGAGTCTGCAGTTTCACCAGACTGTGATACAAAGATACAAGTGTCATCTCTGAAAACTGGTGATCTTCTATCCAAGAAATCCGATGCCAACTCCACGGATACAGGAATCTCTGTCAACTCTTCAAAAATCGATCTCGTAGCTAGACAAGAGTGGTACGATGTACCGCAGGCAATCATGATAATTCTTCTACAACGTCTGATAGTTGGTAACCAGGATTTCAAACCACCTAATGTCACTGTATGGTTCTGGAAGTCGACACGACCTCTCATTGTGTTGAACGTTGATTCTGGTTGTTCAAAGATTTCCTTTTGCATGAAATGCTTATAAGGACCTTTCATAATTTGTGCCAATTCCATCTCCAAGGTTTGGATGGATCTAGTTGCAGACATGTTACCATCTCTTCTGGCCCTATGGATGTGCAATTCACCGTCATAGATGTGTGCGATATCGTCATCTTCCAAAAACAACACCTTTTTAGTGTGCTGAATAACGGATGAAGGATCGGAGGAGAGGAAGAACTCTGTTGGTTGTGGCATAGAATCTTCAGACAAGAAAGCTCTTGAACGAGATTGTCTCAATGCAGATTCTCCAGAGGCAACTGGAACGAATTGACCAGCTTCCATACTCTTCTGTGTTGGGTTAAGCTCTTCTTGAACATCAGAGAACTCGACATCGACGAAATCCACCTTCAACTTCTTTTCAGTTTTCACACCAACCAACAACGGGGAACCCCTTCTTGTGGCGACAACTTCATTTGGATAGTGGATGGACTTAACGAGCAAACCGTACGAACCGTCAATTTCAATGAGGATCTGTTTCATCAACTCGTTAAAGTCCGGATCGTTACCGTTTTTAATGTTCGTGTCGTAAACGTGCTTGAACAACTTTGCGATACATTCGGTGTCGGTATCTGATTCAAAGACAAAGCCTTTGTTTTGCAATAGCTGTTTCAATTCTCTGTAGTTCGTGATGATACCGTTGTGCACAACGACGAATTCGTTATTCACGTCTGATCTCTGTGGATGGCAGTTCACCACTTTTGGCTGACCGTGGGTTGCCCATCTCGTATGGGCAATACCAGCGTGGGACACAAACGTCACGTCAGGGTTATAGTGCTTTGACTCGTACTCCTTCTTCAAAGCAGCAACTTTACCAATTTGACGAACAATGTAAGTCTCGTCAGGTATATCGCCATCGATGGCCAATCCGGCAGAGTCATAGCCTCGGTACTCCAACCTTTGTAAACCTTCAATCAACGTCTCTGCAATCTCACCTCTACTCTTCTCAACCAAGTAGTTGACGTAACCAAAAATTCCACACATTTTTCAAATCAAGGCCCTAGGGGAAACAACAACAGTCAGGCAGTATATGCGACAGACAGCTAAGATCAACGTATAACACAGGCAATGGGCAGCGGGTGAGGGGCCTTTGGAAATGGGATCAAATCAAAAGACAGAAATGGACGATAAGATGGAGAGGAAATCACACAAACACACGCAAGTGGGGCCTCCGGTTCCTTTCAAAACTTCTTCGTTATTCACGTACCTGTTCAGCTCAGTCCAGTCCAGTTCAACGGAAAAGATCAAACTCTCAATGGACAACGACGTTCCAGTAATTCCTTTTATAGAAAAGTAAACAGAGGGAGGAAAATGGGAAAAGAGAGGAAATTCTCAAATTTTGCCTTTTAGTTGAAGTTATATATACACCACAAAATTTCGTGAAACGATCCGCGCTGAGCACTTGGAGCAGGCTGCCTGTTGAGGATTTTTCTGCCTGTTTGTTTTGTTTGTTGTCATTTTTGTCCCCGTTTGGCTGTGTCAACACGAGCGAGGATTACCCGATTTGGATGAAATTGCCTGCAACTCGGGTTTTCGCAAAAGTTTTTTCCTTCTTGCTTGGTGGAACAACCGCCGCTTCGAGAGTTTCACAACGTGTCTAAAAAAAGAAGTGTGGGCGGAACAACTCCCAGTAGCGAAATCCGCTTGTGGCAGTTTTTTGACGTTTTTTAGACGATTAATAGCTACGCGTTTGGTGATTTGACATGTTGTGCTATTGTGTTAACCAAGGCTTGTAGCCGTGGTTGTCCTGTGTAATTGAGCAAAGAGACGGATGGCGAACCGTGTCATGCTGCTTTTAAAACCGACAACTGCTGTGCTGCTCACACTTTGCGCAAATCATGAAACTGAATTTGGATGTGGAAACACGGGTTCAGACAGCGCGTGCGCGTGAGCTGGGCGAGCGCTGCTCGGTGCCATCAACCGACTTTGCTCACCAGCTTTTCGCACTGGGTCAGCAACGCGCTGAACGGAGGGTAAGACGTGTGGTCCCGACCGTCTGATGGGGGCACACAGGACACATACGGGTTTTATAGTTCAGGCCCACCAGTTCTGAAATGTTCGGGTGTTTTAAAGCGATGCCTGGTGCCATGAGCTGTATATACAGAGCTCTTGGTTCTAAACGGTTGTCCTTGGGTTCTTTGATGCGATGGTGATGTACAGTGCAGTAAGAGCCGATTAAGAACATCGGGACTAATACTTCTGATGTTGGGCGTGTGATTACAGGACATTGCCGTAGTGCCTTTGATGGCGTTTGGTGATGGGGACTATTTGGCGTAGCCATTTACCTTGTTATAACTCAAGGCTTATACCGAAATGAGCCATTGCCAATGGCAGTGCACTGACAGATATCTTCTAATGGCTCAATTGAAGGTAACAGGGATGTGGGGCTCACTAAGCACGGAGTAGGGGTGCTATGTCAGCACTAACTGTACTGACATTTGAGCTAAACCCTTACACCAAGGACACAGTCACCACAGGATGAGTGTCGCTAAATGATATGCGCAATGTGTGTCCTTTGAAGGAGTAAATGATAGCCAATACAACGTCACAAGATGCCACCGATGGCTCTTTCCCTACAAATGCCAATGTTGGCATTATCTTTGATAACGGGACCAGTGATCGTAGACTGCTTATTAAGCGATTAGTCAGCACAATGCATAATGCACATGTATAAAGCCAGGAGTGAAGTCTCCCTTGTTTTGTTGTCTTTTAGTCTTAGCTGCTCAGGTTTCCGCTATGTTTCGTCTGTTGAAACCCTTCCAACATGTTTCCAGAGGCACTAGCCCACTGATATCAAGTAGATGGTTTTCTCAGAGGTCGTACGCTTTGCAGCTGAGCTCACAATCACTATCAAGAAAGATCCCAACCAAGGTACCAAAGACCTCTCGTCAAACAAACCCACAGATACTACGCCGTACCAAGAGATCCAGATGGGTCAAGAAAGATATGCTGCTTGAATCCTTACAGAAGGAGAGCAAAATTCAACCCGTGACAACAGTGACTTCGTGTGAGAAGTACGATTTCCAAGGGATCTTGGACAATCCACCTTTGGAAGGTATACACCAACTTGTTCCGGACGAGATCCTTTATTTCAAATACCAGGATGAGTATGATATCTTGATCCTGGAAAATGGTACTATCGTTGCCTGGGGATTACACGAAGAATCCACAGAAGCTGACATATTGCCTCTTTTCAAAGAGTTCATGGTTTTCAAGTACGACTTCCCAGAATCTGAGGATATGGATTTCCTAGAGACGAGTTCTCCAGAGCATCCGACCCAGGTGATAGCAGAGACGTTCATTATCAATACGGCCAATAAAGACCAGAGTATTTTGGAAAAGGCTGCATTCTCATCGGCGCTATCAAGGTCGACGAGATTGGCTATCCTGGAGAATGCGCTCGAGAGGCATATATTGCAGACAAGAAAAGTGACAGAAGGGTTAAGCAATGGAAAGAGGCTAACTGTAACAGAAAAGGAGCTGTTAAGGTCAACAGGAAGGCTTTTCTTGCTGAGAGGTAAGCTCAATCTGTACTCTGAACTGATTGAAATTCCAGATCTGTACTGGAGTGAACCAAACTTGGAGGCCATTTACAAGGCTGTATCTGCAGTATTGGACATTTCTCCAAGAATATCCATTCTGAACAAGAAGTTGGACTACGCTACCGATGAATCAAGAGCGTTACTGCAAACTTTGAACGAGGAGAAGGGAACAAGGCTGGAATGGATTATTATTTATCTCATTATGATCGAAGTGTGCTTTGAGACATTCCACTTTTACGAGAGATATGTCGACTACAGGGATAGAGACAAAGAGTGATTTATACAAGATACAACATATACGCATTCAACCTATGCCTTTTCTATGTAGTCAATCTCTAACTCTATCTTTGATGGATCAACCACTCTAACATGGGAGAGGTCCTTAACAACGTATGTGGCACCTGCATCGTATAGCTTTTGAGCCTCGAACCCACTGGCAATACCAATGACTAAAGCACCTGCGTTTAACCCAGCACCAATTCCAACAGGTGCATCTTCAAAGACAACTTTCTTAACGTTTGAATGGTCCAACCCGAGCTTTTCGCTTAGAAGCTGTGCACCTGTCAAATAGCCTTCTGGATGAGGTTTACCATTTGTAACCATATCCGCGGTGATAAACACATCTGGCTTCTTGACATCACTCAAAACACTCCCGAACCACCCATGAGCAAGTCCCTGGTTACCACTAGTAACGATGCACCATTTATTGCAGTCCAAGGAGTTCAAGAGCGTCGAATGCCCGTTAATCGGCACTACTAGGTCTCCAAAGTCCCTGGAGATGGAGGCTTCAAATTCAAGTGCACCTTTGTTATCAGTATTATCAATATCAGGGAAGAATCTTGCCATGACTTCAACAGTTCTGGTACCGTGAGAATGCTCGTAGAGCGTCTTAGGGTCCACGTTGTGTTCGGTACATAACCCAACCCATGCCTGCTCAACGGCTTTTGTTGTGTTGACAATAGTACCGTCGAGATCAAAGAGACAAACGTCAGTAGTTACAGTGGCTGTCACCATGGTTTGTTGGTGAATCGTCTCGAATTTATCACTAGGAGAACGAGTGGGCTTACTGTGAGAAGGAGAGTAAAACTTTCCAACTAATTCCTGAAAGAATCACTACCTCAACGTGCGTGCACTGGTTCCTCGTTTCTCAATGTGGGAAATCATTGAATTAGGAGTTTTTCCGGGACTGGGGTGCATTTATTGGAGAGAAAGGCTCTCTGGCTGAGATACCAACGGTCGTTATTCTACCGTTGTGTATGCTACATTGATAAAAGATGAGCAAATACACTGGTCAATTGACTTGCACTACGAAAGCAGAGTACAGCCAATTGGTTAAAGGACTTGAATGAGCGGTTTATGATTGGTTTAAGAAAATAGAATGGTGAGCCACACGAGTACCGGCCGAAGAGCATTTCTAAGGGAGCTAGCTGTCCTTCATTTTCCCTCATAAAGCCTACCGATTATAGCGCAAGCAAGTTTTGGTGCTGGGCTGTAACGGCTATAGGTGATGTGATTATAAAGACGCATCACTATGGATATTACCAGGCCAATTGCGACTGTCATGTGCGCAATCAACAGTGTTTCCATCACCGTGGCATGGAGAGTGAGCGTTAACGAACGCATTAATCATTTTGACTAGGAATGTCGATTCCTCAATTGTTTAGCACTGAGATGAGGGAATTGACGAATCCATATTTTGGCTAGTCATCAGGCTCGAATGCTGGATACCTCTATCAGGGCTTTATCGTATTCTTGATAACAAAGAGGGATCATTGTAGAAGTCAATGGGTCTACAGCTGATGAGTAGACATTAATGTCACCACTATACATTTCTTGAAAACTGTAAATTTCGAAATAGGCAACTTGGCCGAGTGGTTAAGGCGAAAGATTAGAAATCTTTTGGGTTTACCCGCGCAGGTTCGAATCCTGCAGTTGTCGTCATTTTTTTTTTTGCTCAGCTCATAGTTTCAAGGTCGCCAGATTGTATAAATTAGTTTTAACAAACGTATCGTTATTATGATTGATAACGCAGATTGCTGTTAGCTTGTTGCACCCTGTGAATATCCATTTCATCCGACTTTATCCACTAGCTTAG